CTGCCAGACAACAGGTAGGATTCCACATGCTTGTCCAGTCTGGGGATACAACATTGAACTGCCAGACAACAGGTAGGACTCCACATTCTTGTCCAGTCTGGAGATACAACATTGAACTGCCAGACAACAGGTAGGATTCCACATGCTTGTCCAGTCTGGAGATACAACATTGAACTGCCAGACAACAGGTAGGACTCCACATGCTTGTCCAGTCTGGGGATACAACATTGAACTGCCAGACAACAGGTAGGATTCCACATGCTTGTCCAGTCTGGAGATATGAGATACAACATTGAACTGCCAGACAACAGGTGGGACTCCACATGTTTGTCCAGTCTGGGGATACAACATTGAACTGCCAGACAACAGGTAGGATTCCACATGCTTGTCCAGTCTGGAGATACAACATTGAACTGCTAGACAACAGGTAGGATTCCACATGCTTGTCCAGTCTGGAGATACAACATTGAACTGCCAGACAACAGGTAGGATTCCACATGCTTGTCCAGTCTGGAGATATGGGATACAACATTGAACTGCCAAACAACAGGTAGGATTCCACATGCTTGTCCAGTCTGGAGATACAACATTGAACTGCCAGCCAACAGGTAGGACTCCACATGCTTGTCCAGTCTGAAGATATGAGATACAACATTGAGCTGCCAGACAACAGGTAGGATTCCACATGCTTGTCCAGTCTGGAGATACAACATTGAACTGCCATACAACAGGTAGGACTCAACATGCTTGTCCAGTCTGGAGATATGAGATACAACATTGAACTGCCAGACAACAGGTAGGATTCCACATCCTTGTCCAGTCTGGAGATATGAGATACAACATTGAACTGCCAGACATCAACATTCCACTGAGGAAACAATGCTTTTGTGTTGTTTGCTAACTTATTGACAGCAAACAGCTCATGGCCTATTGTCTAAGGATACAGTCCACGCTTCCACACACAACTGTCAGGAAAACTCAGCAACGCAATGGCCGCCATATATGCACATTTTTTTGTCACGAACACTTTGGGTATTCACAAACCCTCACACACACAACAATGCAAGTGAAGTAATTCTGTCCTGGCTACACATGAGATGAATGTCCCACCCTTCCCTCACTTCACAGGTAGCTTGTACTAGCCACAGCTACACATGAGATGAATGTCCCACCCTTCCCTCACTTCACAGGTAGCTTGTACTAGCCACAGCTACACATGAGATGAATGTCCTGCCCTTCCCTCACTTCACAGGTAGCTTGTACTAGCCACAGCTACACATGAGATGAATGTCCCACCCTTCCCTCACTTCACAGGTAGCTTGTACTAGCCACAGCTACACATGAGATGAATGTCCTGCCCTTCCCTCACTTCACAGGTAGCTTGTACTAGCCACAGCTACACATGAGATGAATGTCCTGCCCTTCCCTCACTTCACAGGTAGCTTGTACTAGCCACAGCTACACATGAGATGAATGTCCTGCCCTTCCCTCACTTCACAGGTAGCTTGTACTAGCCACGGCTACACATGAGCTGACCGCTACAGTGCTAGGTCGACAGCGGCCCACAGTTGTACAAATGATCGGCATAAATCTCCTAAACAGCTTGACCACTGCTGCGCTATGTGGACATACACCGTCACATCGACTGACTGGAAATGTGACAGTCTCCAGCATGTGCACACAGCACATCAGCCTCATCGAAGAAACGCTGATGACCGGTAGGACTCATGGCTGTGAGTCACCCTTCAGCACACAGCTATCGCTGACATCTCTGCTGTCTTGTTTCACCAGTGAGCCTACCACTTAAAATGCGTCACCCAAGACAGAGACTCTTGAAGTAGTCCAGCTCTCTGGGCTTGATTCTCCCAACTGGACTTTTCTACCTTCGACTGCACTCTCCACTGTCCTCTTGACCAGTCTGTCGTAAATGTTTTCCCTCCAACTTTCTCAATTCACCTATTCGTGTACTCAACTGTCCGCTGCTCTCTCAACTGAATTCAACCCCAGTATATATCCTTGCCTGCCCCCTGTGAGCTGGCCCGTGCAAACGAGATGCACGCTGTCATGCACACCATAATTCTTCCGTGCAACAGCTGCTATCCATGCACGACTCATGATAGTTAACCCACACTGGACTAATACTTCGTGAATCCACTGGTCCATCCCACCCTAAGTCAACTCCCACTTGCCACAGTATTGACTCAGCCAACTTACATCTCCTGGCTTAAGTCAGCATTATACCAAATACTGACTCAGGTCACTGAACATTCCCTTGGATTCCCGAAAACACAATTCAAACCACATTGTCCCCTACATGTTACAACCCACGGGAATCAGCAGGCAGCAGTTTGATTAGTCAATGCAGAACGGTTTTACACAGAGACTGTTCATACTTGTTCAGTCAATGATAGCAACATTCACTTTACACAGAGACTGTTTGTACTTGTTCAGTCAATGATAGCAACATTCACTTTACACAGAGACTGTTCATACTTGTTCAGTCAATGATAGCAACATTCACTTTACACAGAGACTGTTTGTACTTGTTCAGTCAATGATAGCAACATTCACTTTACACAGAGACTGTTTGTACTTGTTCAGTCAATGATAGCAACATTCACTTTACACAGAGACTGTTCATACTTGTTCAGTCAATGATAGCAACATTCACTTTACACAGAGACTGTTTGTACTTGTTCAGTCAATGATAGCAACATTCACTTTACACAGAGACTGTTCATAATTTTTCAGTCATTGATAGCAACATTAACTTTATACAGAGACTGTTCATACTTGTTCAGTCATTGATAGCAACATTCACTTTACACGTGAGATCATACTTGTTCAGTCAATGATTGCAACATTCACTTTACACAGAGATCATACTTGTTCAGTCAATGATAGCAACATTCACTTTACACAGAGACTTTTCATACTTGTTCAGTCAATGATAGCAACATTCACTTTACACAGAGATCATACTTGTTCAGTCAATGATAGCAACATTCACTTTACACAGAGACTGTTCATACTTGTTCAGTCAATGATAGCAACATTCACTTTACACAGAGATCATACTTTTTCAGTCAATGATAGCAACATTCACTTTACACAGAGATCATACTTGTTCAGTCAATGATAGCAACATTCACTTTACACAGAGACTATTCATACTTGTTCAGTCAATGATAGCAACATTCACTTTACACAGAGACTGTTTGTACTTGTTCAGTCATTGATAGCAACATTCACTTTACACAGAGACTGTTCATACTTGTTCAGTCAATGATAGCAACATTCACTTTACACAGAGACTGTTCATACTTGTTCAGTCAATGATAGCAACATTCACTTTACACAGAGACTGTTCATACTTGTTCAGTCATTGATAGCAACATTCACTTTACACAGAGACTGTTCATACTTGTTCAGTCATTGATAGCAACATTCACTTTACACAGAGACTATTCGTACTTGTTCAGTCAATGATAGCAACATTCACTTTACACAGAGACTATTCATACTTGATACCTCATATCAGTTATTTTGTCAATGGTCAATACTGAAATGGCGTCATCATGTTTGACATCAGGACCTTGTGGCTGTAGATTGGTGCATAAAAGACAACTGGAGAAATCTTCTATTTGTCACTGACAGCGATATAGACTCAATTGTATGACATATAAAACATGCAGTTGTGTTTATTAGTTTATGAAATGGTATGCAAATCAATATCAATGCAACAAAATCTAAAAATGAATACTATTGGTGTTGATCAAACCTTAGAAGCAGAAAGTTTCAGTGGTGTGCTAAAGAGTGGCACCTGACATGCTCCCTTTGTATGGCTTTTTTAATTTTCTGGATTTTCTACATTTCCCTGTTTTCACACACACACACACACACACACACTGTACTTTCTTCTGAGTGTTGAGTTTGAAACTGTTGGTGGAATTGGGGATTTGAAGATTCATGAAACTGTTGGGGGAATTGGGGATGGGAAGATATTTGAAACTGTCGGTGGAATTGGGGATGGGAAGATTCATGAAACTGTTGGTGGAATTGGGGATGGGAAGATTCATGAAACTGTTCGTGAAATTGGGGATGGAAAGATTCATGGAACTGTTGGTGGAATTGGGGATGGGAAGATTCATGAAATTGTTGGTGAAATTAGAGATGGGAAGATTCATGAAACTGTTTGTTGAATTGGGGATGGGAAGATTCATGAAACTGTTGGTGAAATTGGAGATGGGAAGATTCATGAAACTGTTGCATTGGGGATGGGAAGATTCATGAAACTGTTGGTGGAATTGGGGATGGGAAGATTCATGAAACTGTTCGTGAAATTGGGGATGGAAAGATTCATGGAACTGTTGGTGGAATTGGGGATGGGAAGATTCATGAAACTGTTGGTGGAATTGGAGATGGGAAGATTCATGAAACTGTTGGTGAAATTGGAGATGGGAAGATTCATGAAACTGTTGGTGAAATTGGAGATGGGAAGATTCATGAAACTGTTGGTGGAATTGGAGATGGGAAGATTCATGAAACTGTTGGTGAAATTGGAGATGGGAAGATTCATGAAACTGTTGCATTGGGAATGGGAAGATTCATGAAACTGTTGGTGGAATTGGGGATGACTAGAGTCTGTCTGCCAGTCACTTTTTTTGTTTAGCTAACATAATCATGAGTGAGAGCTTTGCTTGACTGTGAAATATAATTTTGCAACTTCAGTGGTCGTTTGCCATTTGTTACCCAGAATTTATGATGCAGTAGTATGTGAGTGAACTGTCAAAGGGTCGCTATAACAATCCTCTCCCAAACCACACATCACAGGAATCCAACCCCAGCAAACATCAAGGATTGCATCCTCAGATGATTGTCACTAAACTCTGTTTGGGAAACTGTGCCTTAGATAATTAAGGTGTGTGGTGTACTGTTTGTTTGTTTGTTTTGAGGTCAGATTTGATAGCCTGTGACCTCTGCATGATTGAACATGGCAGATAAATGGAAGCCCTTGAGCAAGGAGCTGAAAGCCAATGGTCATGAACTGGTCAGTGTTGAGGAGAATCTCGTTGACCTCATCTGGAGTAACAGACCAAATCCTCCTTGTAGTCAGCTGATCATCCTCACAGATGAGGAAACAGGTACAACTTTCTGGTTGTGTCGTTCTCTGTGTTGAGCATGTTCCTTAAGCTGTCACACTTTGTTCATTACTGATTAGTATTTAGCCAGGATTAACATCGGCAGTCCTGATAGATGCACAGCTACTCAGATCTTTTCCTGAAAAGCTCCACAAGTGTATAACACCTGATTATGCATGTTTTTCTGGTTCATGTTTGTCATCAAACCCTGTTTTACATTTTTTTTTCTGTAATTTAAGGTCGTGAAGACTCACAGAATGTCTCTGTGTGCGAGTGTTCAATGTTTGTTTGTATGTCAGTGCTCAGTGTGTGTTTATATGTCAGTGTTCAGTGTGTTTGTGTGTCATTGTTCTGTCTGTGTATGCGTGTGTCTGTTTTTAATGTCAGTGTTCAGTCTGTGTCATTGTCTGTCTAATTTGTTTTCTCCACTTCCTACACAGATCACCATCATCTGTGTTGCTTCGTTGAGTTATTGTTTGCCTCACTGTTAGTTTAGCAGTCTAACACTTGATGTCCTTACTTGATTTGTGGCTGTCTTTCTTTCTTTGTTCTTTGTCCAATCTGTTAGTTCTTCTATGTTTATTAGTTCTGTATGTCAGTTCTAATTCTTTTTCTTCTGCTGATGGTTGTGTTCTTCTGTTTCCTTTGTTTCTTCTGTTTTTGAGATTTATAAATTTTTGCTTTGCCCCTTTTTCTTCTGTTACAGCTTCAGTAAATGTCACCAGTAGTGACGTTTGTATTGTTGTAGTCACCAGTAGTGACGTCAGTATTGTTGTAGTCACCAGTAGTGACATTTGTATTGTTGTAGTCACCAGTAGTGACATTTGTATTGTTGTAGTCACCAGTAGTGACATTTGTATTGTTGTAGTCACCAGTAGTGACATTTGTATTGTTGTAGTCACCAGTAGTGACATTTGTATTGTTGTAGTCACCAGTAGTGACATTTGTATTGTTGTAGTCACCAGTAGTGACATCAGTATTGTTGTAGTAACCAGTAGTGACGTTTGTATTGTTGTAGTCACCAGTAGTGACATTTGTATTGTTGTAGTCACCAGTAGTGACATCAGTATTGTTGTAGTCACCAATAGTGACATTTGTATTGTTGTAGTCACCAGTAGTGACATCAGTATTGTTGTAGTCACCAGTAGTGACATTTGTATTGTTGTAGTCACCAGTAGTGACATCAGTATTGTTGTAGTCACCAGTAGTGACATCAGTATTGTTGTAGTCACCAGTAGTGACATCAGTATTGTTGTAGTCACCCAGTATTGTTGTAGACACCAGTAGTGACATTGTTGTGTAGTCACCAGTAGTGACATTTGTATTGTTGTAGTCACCAGTAGTGACATCGTTGTATTGTTGTAGTCACCAGTAGTGACATTTGTATTGTTGTAGTCACCAGTAGTGACATTTGTATTGTTGTAGTCACCAGTAGTGACATTTGTATTGTTGTAGTCACCAGTAGTGACATTTGTATTGTTGTAGTCACCAGTAGTGACATTTGTATTGTTGTAGTCACCAGTAGTGACATTTGTATTGTTGTAGTCACCAGTAGTGACATTTGTATTGTTGTAGTCACCAGTAGTGACATTTGTATTGTTGTAGTCACCAGTAGTGACATTTGTATTGTTGTAGTCACCAGTAGTGACATTTGTATTGTTGTAGTCACCAGTAGTGACATTTGTATTGTTGTAGTCACCAGTAGTGACATTTGTATTGTTGTAGTCACCAGTAGTGACATTTGTATTGTTGTAGTCACCAGTAGTGACATTTGTATTGTTGTAGTCACCAGTAGTGACATTTGTATTGTTGTAGTCACCAGTAGTGACATTTGTATTGTTGTAGTCACCAGTAGTGACATTTGTATTGTTGTAGTCACCAGTAGTGACATTTGTATTGTTGTAGTCACCAGTAGTGACATTTGTATTGTTGTAGTCACCAGTAGTGACATTTGTATTGTTGTAGTCACCAGTAGTGACACATTGTTGTTTGTATTTGTGTTGTAGTCACCAGTAGTGACATTTGTATTGTTGTAGTCACCAGTAGTGACATTTGTATTGTTGTAGTCACCAGTAGTGACATTTGTATTGTTGTAGTCACCAGTAGTGACATTTGTATTGTTGTAGTCACCAGTAGTGACATTTGTATTGTTGTAGTCACCAGTAGTGACATTTGTATTGTTGTAGTCACCAGTAGTGACATTTGTATTGTTGTAGTCACCAGTTGTTGTAGACAGTAGTGACATTTGTATTGTTGTAGTCACCAGTAGTGACATTTGTATTGTTGTAGTCACCAGTAGTGACATTTGTATTGTTGTAGTCACCAGTAGTGACATTTGTATTGTTGTAGTCACCAGTAGTGACATTTGTATTGTTGTAGTCACCAGTAGTGACATTTGTATTGTTGTAGTCACCAGTAGTGACATTTGTATTGTTGTAGTCACCAGTAGTGACATTTGTATTGTTGTAGTCACCAGTAGTGACATTTGTATTGTTGTAGTCACCAGTAGTGACATTTGTATTGTTGTAGTCACCAGTAGTGACATTTGTATTGTTGTAGTCACCAGTAGTGACATTTGTATTGTTGTAGTCACCAGTATTGACATTTGTATTGTTGTAGTCACCAGTAGTGACATTTGTATTGTTGTAGTCACCAGTAGTGACATTTGTATTGTTGTAGTCACCAGTAGTGACATTTGTATTGTTGTAGTCACCAGTAGTGACATTTGTATTGTTGTAGTAACCAGTAGTGACATCAGTATTGTTGTAGTCACCAGTAGTGACGTCAGTATTGTTGTAGTCACCAGTAGTGACATTTGTATTGTTGTAGTCACCAGTAGTGACATTTGTATTGTTGTAATCACCTGTAGTGACATTTGTATTGTTGTAGTAACCAGTAGTGACATTTGTATTGTTGTAGTCACCAGTAGTGACATCAGTATTGTTGTAGTCACCAGTAGTGACTTCAGTATTGTTGTAGTCACCAGTAGTGACATTTGTATTGTTGTAGTCACCAGTAGTGACATTTGTATTGTTGTAGTCACCAGTAGTGACAATAGTATTGTTGTAGTCACCAGTAGTGACATTTGTATTGTTGTAGTCACCAGTAGTGACATTTGTACTGTTGTAGTCACCAGTAGTGACATTTGGGCACTCTTCCGAATACCGGTCCCAAATTATTCACTGCAAAAAATATTTTTTTTTCTCAAACATGTGGCCCTGGATCCCACACGGCCCTGGATCCCAGTTACTGTGAACAATGGATCAAAAACTATTCCCCCCCCCCCCTCCCCCCCACTCCCATATCGCTATAATGCATTGAAAACTACTCCTCCCCACAACGCTTCAACATTGGATCAAAATTTATTCTTCCTTACAATACTTAAATGGATCGAGAACTATTCCTCCTTACAGCGCTTAGCTTAACGTCTAAACATTGCTATCTTTCCTGCTATAACGGCAGAAGTGGAAACTGATGATGGGGGCCTAAATGTTGTTACTACAGTACATAACCTCTTGACGCTCCCAACGGGATGTTTTTCGCAGTGAATAATTTGGGACCGGTATTCGGAAGAGTGCCGACATTTGTATTGTTGTAGTCACCAGTAGTGACATTTGTATTGTTGTAGTCACCAGTAGTGACATCAGTATTGATGTAGTCACCAGTAGTGACATTTGTATTGTTGTAGTCACCAGTAGTGACATTTGTATTGTTGTAGTCACCAGTAGTGACATCAGTATTGTTGTAGTTACCAGTAGTGACATTAGTGTTGTTGTAGTCACCAGTAGTGACATTTGTATTGTTGTAGTCATCAGTAGTGACATTTGTATTGTTGTAGTCACCAGTAGTGACATCAGTATTGCTGTAGTCACCAGTATTGACATTTGTATTGTTGTAGTCACCAGTAGTGACATCAGTATTATTGTAGTCACCAGTAGTGACATTTGTATTGTTGTAGTCACCAGTAGTGACATTTGTATTGTTGTAGTCACCAGTAGTGACATTTGTATTGTTGTAGTCACCAGTAGTGACATTTGTATTGTTGTAGTCACCAGTAGTGACAATAGTATTGTTGTAGTCACCAGTAGTGACATTTGTATTGTTGTAGTCACCAGTAGTGACATTTGTATTGTTGTAGTCACCAGTAGTGACATTTGTATTGTTGTAGTCACCAGTAGTGACATTTGTATTGTTGTAGTCACCAGTAGTGACATTTGTATTGTTGTAGTCACCAGTAGTGACATCAGTATTGTTGTAGTCACCAGTAGTGACATTTGTATTGTTGTAGTCACCAGTAGTGACATCAGTATTGTTGTAGTCACCAGTAGTGACATTTGTATTGTTGTAGTCACCAGTAGTGACATTTGTATTGTTGTAGTCACCAGTAGTGACATTTTTATTGTTGTAGTCACCAGTAGTGACATTTTTATTGTTGTAGTCACCAGTAGTGACATCAGTATTGTTGTAGTCACCAGTGGTGACATTTGTATTGTTGTAGTAACCAGTAGTGACATTTGTATTGTTGTAGTCACCAGTAGTGACATTTGTATTGTTGTAGTCACCAGTAGTGACATCAGTATTGTTGTAGTCACCAGTAGTGACATTTGTATTGTTGTAGTCACCAGTAGTGACATTTGTATTGTTGTAGTCACCAGTAGTGACATTTGTATTGTTGTAGTCACCAGTAGTGACATTTGTATTGTTGTAGTCACCAGTAGTGACATCAGTATTGTTGTAGTCACCAGTAGTGACATTTGTATTGTTGTAGTCACCAGTAGTGACATCAGTATTGTTGTAGTCACCAGTAGTGAGATTTGTATTGTTGTAGTCACCAGTAGTGACATTTGTATTGTTGTAGTCACCAGTAGTGACATCAGTATTGTTGTAGTCACCAGTAGTGACATCAGTATTGTTGTAGTCACCAGTAGTGACATCAGTATTGTTGTAGTCACCAGTAGTGACATCAGTATTGTTGTAGTCACCAGTAGTGACATCAATATTGTTGTAGTCACCAGTAGTGACATCAGTATTGTTGTAGTCACCAGTAGTGACATCAGTATTGTTGTAGTCACCAGTAGTGACATCAGTATTGTTGTAGTCACCAGTAGTGACATCAGTATTGTTGTAGTCACCAGTAGTGACATCAGTATTGTTGTAGTCACCAGTAGTGAGATTTGTATTGTTGTAGTCACCAGTAGTGACATCAGTATTGTTGTAGTCACCAGTAGTGACATCAGTATTGTTGTAGTCACCAGTAGTGAGATTTGTATTGTTTCTTTTATCAACAGGGGCATCATGGCAAGACAAAGTGACAAAAATCCGCACAAAACTGGAGGAGGAGAATGCTTCAGCTGTTGTTGTTACTGCTCTGGATGAAGTGGCATGTAAGTGTGTCTACTGTTGTAGCTACTGCTCTGGATGAAGTGACATGTAAGTGTGTCCACTGTTGTAGTTACTGCTCTGGATGAAGTGGCATGTAAGTGTGTCCACTGTTGTAGTTACTGCTCTGGATGAAGTGGCATGTAAGTGTGTCATCCACTGTTGTAGTTACTGCTCTGGATGAAGTGACATGTAAGTGTGTCCACTGTTGTAGTTACTGCTCTGGATGAAGTGACATGTAAGTGTGTCATCCACTGTTGTAGTTACTGCTCTGGATGAAGTGACATGTAAGTGTGTCATCCACTGTTGTAGTTACTGCTCTGGATGAAGTGACATGTAAGTGTGTCCACTGTTGTAGCTACTGCTCTGGATGAAGTGGCATGTAAGTGTGTCTACTGTTGTAGTTACTGCTCTGGATGAAGTGGCATGTAAGTGTGTCTACTGTTGTAGTTACTGCTCTGAATGAAGTGGCATGTAAGTGTGTCCACTGTTGTAGTTACTGCTCTGGATGAAGTGGTAACACTATGACAGCTGTGAGTTATTTATATTATAGTAAAACATCTGTCTATAACACTGTAACGACTCTGAGAAATATTATAGTAAAACAGTTGTACATAACACTGTGACAGCCATTATTTATATTTTAGTTGTTGTTGTTATCGATCCAGCGGCGCATGAGCTTTCGCCCTTTGGCCCAATGCCATGTAGTGGAATTTGCATGTTTTCACAAGCTGTTCTTTTCCTCCGTACAAGGTGTTCCACTTGTCTGGTCTCGGAGGGAGTAGCGTTCTTCTTGTCTCACTGAGTTTTGGGCACTCAAAGAGATGATGTTCAACAGTTTCGTAGGGGTAGTTACATAGCTGGCACTCTAGGGAGTGTTGTGGCTGTATTCTGTTTAGGTGTCCATTGAGTGGAGTATGTTATATTTTAGTAAAACAGCTGTATATAACACTGACGGCTCCGAGAAATATAATAGCAAAACAGCTGTTTATAACACTAAGAGCTGTGATTTTTTTTAAGGAGAATTCAACAGATATTTTGGCCCAACAAAATCGCAAATGAAGAACTAGGGAAAAAAACAAAAAGGGGCATCACTGACAAATGTTATCAAAGTAAGACGATGGAGATAGCTAGAACATGTTTGCAGAATGCCTTGTGACACTCTGGCAAAAAACTGCTCTCCGGAGGACAGCAGATGGGAAAAGGACAGCATTAGGAAACCTGGAGAAAGACAATAGAACGGGAAATGAATTAATGTGAACTGACATGGGATACCATGGGCAGGAAAGCAGCGAACCGGCAGCAATAGAGATTACTTGTGAATGCCTTATGTGTCAGGAAGAGGATATGGATATTACACTATGACAGCTGTGAGTTACATTATTGTAAAACATTTGTTTATAACACTGACAGCTGTGAGTTTTATTATAGTAAAACATTTGTTTATAACACTGTGACAGCTGTGAGTTACATTATAGTAAAACATTTGTTTAAAACACTGTGACAGCTGTGAGTTACATTATAGTAAAACATTTGTTTATAACACTGTGACAGCTGTGAGTTACATTATAGTAAAACATTTGTTTAAAACACTGTGACAGCTGTGAGTTTTATCATAGTAAAACATCTGTGTATAACACTATGACAGCTGTGAGTTACATTATATTAAAACATTTGTTTATAACACCCTGACAGCTGTGAGTTTTAATATAGTAAAACATCTGTGTATAACATAACACTTTTACAGCTGTGATTTATACTTAAGTCAAACAGGTGTATATAACATGATGGCAGCTGTGAGTTATAAATATTACATTTTCATGAAAAGATGTAAAATTGAACGAAAAGTAGATCAGCAACTTTCACAATATAACAAACACAAATGGAAAGTGAACATTGTGGTTACAGAGCTTCATCGGCACATACATAAAACAAACAGAACCACATGGAAACAGAAAGTGTGTTTGTGTGTTTGTAGAAGTATTTTATATTTGACAATTTTATGTGTGTTTGGTGAAGTATTTTATATGTGTGTTCCATCCCCATCTTCAGCAGCCAGCACAGAGTTCCAGTACTAATGGTACCAGTCATAATCTGTTGTAGGAATATTTCATCATCCATAATAACTTTATCATATAGATTTTTCATTTTCTAGGACCATTTCACATGTGAACATTCCATGTGCATTTGTAGGTATATTTCATATTTGACCATTCCATGTGTGTTTGTAGGAATATTTCATATTTGACCATTCCATGTGTTTTTGTAGGAATATTTCATATTTGACCATTCCATGTGTGTTTGTAGGAATATTTCATATTTGACCATTCCATGTGTGTTTGTAGGAATATTTCATATTTGACCATTCCATGTGCGTTTGTAGGAATATTTCATATTTGACCATTCCATGTGCGTTTGTAGGAATATTTCATATTTGACCATTCCATGTGCGTTTGTAGGAATATTTCATATTTGACCATTCCATGTGCGTTTGTAGGAATATTTCATATTTGACCATTCCATGTGCGTTTGTAGAAATATTTCATATTTGACCATTCCATGTGTGTTTGCTCGTCCACAGGGCTGTTTAATCTGAGAGGATCAGATATAGTCTACAACCCGGTTTTCTTCTCCTTTGCCATCATTACAGCTGATTCTGTCAAGTAAGTTGTGCACGGCTGTCAATTTCTCACATTATCACAGCTGATTCTGTCAAGTAAGTTGTGCACGACTGACACATTGTTACAGCTGATGCTGTTAAGTAAGTTGTGCACGACTGACACTTTCTCCCATCATTACAGCTGGTTCTGTCAAGTAAGTTGTGCATGGCTGACACTTTCTCCCATCATTACAGCTGATTCTGTCAAGTAAGTTGTGCATGGCTGTAAATTTCTCACATTATCACAGCTGATTCTGTCAAGTAAGTTGTGTATGGCTGTCAATTTCTCACATTATCACAGCTGATTCTGTCAAGTAAGTTGTGTATGGCTGTCAATTTCTCACATTATCACAGCTGATTCTGTCAAGTAAGTTGTGAATGGCTGTCAATTTCTCACATTATCACAGCTGATTCTGTCAAGTAAGTTGTGAATGGCTGTCAATTTCTCACATTGTAACAGCTGATTCTGTCAAGTAAGTTGTGCATGGCTGTCAATTTCTCACATTGTCACAGCTGATTCTGTCAGATAAGTTGTGTATGGCTGTCAATTTCTCACATTGTCACAGCTGATTCTGTCAGATAAGTTGTGCATGGCTGTAAATTTCTCACATTGTCACAGCTGATTCTGTCAGATAAGTTGTGCATGGCTGTCAATTTCTCACATTGTCACAGCTGATTCTGTCAGATAAGTTGTGCATGGCTGTCAATTTCTCCCATCATCACAGATGATTCTGTCAGATAAGTTGTGCATGGCTGTCAATTTCTCACATCATCACAGATGATTCTGTCAGATAAGTTGTGCATGGCTGTCACTGTCTCCCTATTTTCTAGTCTTCTCATATCAGCAGATAACTTTATCTGGACAGAAGGAAAGACAGAGCGCATGTGGAAGTGTCCCGAGTGCAGGGACCTCAGTTTATTCATTCATTCATTCATACCCATACATCATCATCATCATGCAGCAGGTCCTTTGCAAAACAACGCTCTCATTGCGGTCTGCCTGAAAGAAACTCGGTCTCTCGCCAGCTCTCCCGTCTCATGCACTTTCATACTCAAGGAGTCACTTATATCCTGTGCCCATCTTCGGGTTGGTTGGCCCCTGCCCCTTCTACCTGGCACCGTACCTTCTGCTATTATTTTTTCCAGTCCGTCGCGGCGCTTGATATGACCAAAATATTTCAGCTTCCGAGATGGGATGCTCTTTGTTAGCCAATCTTCCTTGATGTACAGACACAAGGTCGCATGAACTGATGTTGTCTCAGTTTACCATGTGTCCATGCATAACTGATGTTGTCTCAGGGTTACCATGTGTCCACACATGCACTGATGTTGTCTTAGGGTTACCATGTGTCCACACATGAACTGATGTTGTCTCAGGGTTACCATGTGTCCACACATGCACTGATGTTGTCTCAGGGTTGCCATGTGTCCACGCATAAACAGATGTTGTCTCAGGGTTGCCATGTGTCCATGCATGAACGGATGTTGTCTTAGGGTTGCCATGTGTCCACACATGCACTGATGTTGTCTCAGGGTTGCCATGTGCCCACACATACACTGATGTTGTCTTAGGGTTGCCATGTGTCCACACATGCACTGATGTTGTCTCATGGCTACCATGTGCCCACACATGAACTGATGTTGTCCCAGGGTTACCCTGTGTCCATGCATGAACTGATGTTGTCTCAGGGTTACCATATGTCCATGCATGAACTGATGTTGTCTCAGGGTTACCATGTGTCCATGCAAGAACTGATGTTGTCTCATGGTTACCATGTGTCCAGGCATGAACTGATGTTGTCTCATGGTTACCATATGTCCATGCAAGAACTGATGTTGTCTCAGGTTTACCATATGTCCATGCAAGAACTGATGTTGTCTCAGTTTACCATATGTCCAGGCATGAACTGATGTTGTCTCAGTTTACCATGTGTCCATGCATGAACTGATGTTGTCTCAGTTTACCATGTGTCCATGCATGAACTGATGTTGTCTCATGGTTACCATATGTCCATGCATGAACTGATGTTGTCTCAGTTTACCATGTGTCCAGGCATGAACTGATGTTGTCTCAGGGTTACCATGTGTCCAGGCATGAACTGATGTTGTCTCATGGTTACCATGTGTCCAGGCATGAACTGATGTTGTCTCATGGTTACCATATGTCCATGCATGAACTGATGTTGTCTCAGGGTTACCATGTGTCCATGCATGAACTGATGTTGTCTCAGGGTTACCATATGTCCATGCATGAACTGATGTTGTCTCAGTTTACCATGTGTCCAGGCATGAACTGATGTTGTCTCAGTTTACCATGTGTCCATGCATGAACTGATGTTGTCTCAGTTTACCATGTGTCCATGCACTGATGTTGTCTCAGGGTTACCATGTGTCCATGCATGAAGTGATGTTGTCTCAGTTTACCATTTGTCCCGGCATGAAGTGATGTTGTCTCAGTTTACCATGTGTCCATGCATGCACTGATGTTGTCTCATGGTTACCATGTGTCCATGCATGAACTGATGTTGTCTCATGGTTACCATATGTCCATGCATGAACTGATGTTGTCTCAGGGTTACCATATGTCCAGGCATGAACTGATGTTGTCTCAGGGTTACCATATGTCCATGCATGAACTGATGTTGTCTCAGGGTTACCATATGTCCAGGCATGAACTGATGTTGTCTCAGGGTTACCATATGTCCATGCATGAACTGATGTTGTCTCAGGGTTACCATGTGTCCATGCACTGATGTTGTCTCAGGGTTACCATGTGTTCATGAACTGATGTTGTCTCAGGGTTACCATGTGTCCATGCATGAACTGATGTTGTCTCATGGTTACCATATGTCCAGGCATAAACTGATGTTGTCTCATGGTTACCATATGTCCAGGCATGAACTGATGTTGTCTCAGGGTTACCATGTGTCCATGCATGAACTGATGTTGTCTCAGGGTTACCATGTGTCCATGCATGAACTGATGTTGTCTCATGGTTACCATGTGTCCATGCATGAACTGATGTTGTCTCAGGGTTACCATGTGTCCATGCATGAACTGATGTTGTCTCATGGTTACCATATGTCCATGCATGAACTGATGTTGTCTCAGTTTACCATGTGTCCAGGCATGAAGTGATGTTGTCTCATGGTTACCATATGTCCATGCATGAACTGATGTTGTCTCAGTTTACCATGTGTCCAGGCATGAACTGATGTTGTCTCAGTTTACCATGTGTCCAGGCATGAAGTGATGTTGTCTCAGTTTACCATGTGTCCAGGCATGAACTGATGTTGTCTCAGGGTTACCATGTGTCCATGCATGCACTGATGTTGTCTCAGTTTACCATATGTCCATGCATGCACTGATGTTGTCTCAGCTTACCATGTGTCCAGGCATGAAGTGATGTTGTCTCATGGTTACCATATTTCCATGCATGAACTGATGTTGTCTCAGTTTACCATATGTCCATGCATGCACTGATGTTGTCTCAGTTTACCATGTGTCCATACATGAAGTGATGTTGTCTCATGGTTACCATATGTCCATGCATGAACTGATGTTGTCTCAGTTTACCATATGTCCATGCATGCACTGATGTTGTCTCAGTTTACCATGTGTCCATACATCAAGTGATGTTGTCTCAGTTTACCATGTGTCCATGCATGCACTGATGTTGTCTCAGTTTACCATATGTCCATGCATGAACTGATGTTGTCTCATGGTTACCATATGTCCATGCATGAACTGATGTTGTCTCAGTTTACCATGTGTCCAGGCATGAAGTGATGTTGTCTCAGTTTACCATGTGTCCATGCATGCACTGATGTTGTCTCATGGTTACCATGTGTCCATGCATGAACTGATGTTGTCTCATGGTTACCATATGTCCATGCATGAACTGATGTTGTCTCAGGGTTACCATATGTCCAGGCATGAACTGATGTTGTCTCAGGGTTACCATATGTCCATGCATGAACTGATGTTGTCTCAGGGTTACCATATGTCCAGGCATGAACTGATGTTGTCTCAGGGTTACCATATGTCCATGCATGAACTGATGTTGTCTCAGGGTTACCATGTGTCCATGCACTGATGTTGTCTCAGGGTTACCATGTGTTCATGAACTGATGTTGTCTCAGGGTTACCATGTGTCCATGCATGAACTGATGTTGTCTCATGGTTACCATATGTCCAGGCATAAACTGATGTTGTCTCATGGTTACCATATGTCCAGGCATGAACTGATGTTGTCTCAGGGTTACCATGTGTCCATGCATGAACTGATGTTGTCTCAGGGTTACCATGTGTCCATGCATGAACTGATGTTGTCTCATGGTTACCATGTGTCCAGGCATGAACTGATGTTGTCTCAGGGTTACCATGTGTCCATGCATGAACTGATGTTGTCTCATGGTTACCATATGTCCATGCATGAACTGATGTTGTCTCAGTTTACCATGTGTCCAGGCATGAAGTGATGTTGTCTCATGGTTACCATATGTCCATGCATGAACTGATGTTGTCTCAGTTTACCATGTGTCCAGGCATGAACTGATGTTGTCTCAGTTTACCATGTGTCCAGGCATGAAGTGATGTTGTCTCAGTTTACCATGTGTCCAGGCATGAACTGATGTTGTCTCAGGGTTACCATGTGTCCATGCATGCACTGATGTTGTCTCAGTTTACCATATGTCCATGCATGCACTGATGTTGTCTCAGCTTACCATGTGTCCAGGCATGAAGTGATGTTGTCTCATGGTTACCATATTTCCATGCATGAACTGATGTTGTCTCAGTTTACCATATGTCCATGCATGCACTGATGTTGTCTCAGTTTACCATGTGTCCATACATGAAGTGATGTTGTCTCATGGTTACCATATGTCCATGCATGAACTGATGTTGTCTCAGTTTACCATATGTCCATGCATGCACTGATGTTGTCTCAGTTTACCATGTGTCCATACATCAAGTGATGTTGTCTCAGTTTACCATGTGTCCATGCATGCACTGATGTTGTCTCAGTTTACCATATGTCCATGCATGAACTGATGTTGTCTCATGGTTACCATATGTCCATGCATGAACTGATGTTGTCTCAGTTTACCATGTGTCCATACATGAAGTGATGTTGTCTCATGGTTACCATATGTCCATGCATGAACTGATGTTGTCTCATGGTTACCATATGTCCATGCATGAACTGATGTTGTGTCATGGTTACCATATGTCCATGCATGAACTGATGTTGTCTTATGGTTACCATGTGCCCCTGCATGAACTGATGTTGTCTCAGTGTGGTCCTATGCCCCTACATGAACTGATGTTGTTTCAGTGTTGTCATATGCCCCTACATGAACTGATGTTGCCTCAGTGTGGTCATATGCCCCTACATGAACTGATGTTGTTTCAGTGTTGTCATATGCCCCTACATGAACTGATGTTGCCTCAGTGTGGTCATATGCCCCTACATGAACTGATGTTGTTTCAGTGTTGTCATATGCCCCTACATGAACTGATGTTGTCTCAGTGTTGTCATATGCCCCTACATGAACTGATGTTGTTTCAGTGTTGTCATATGCCCCTACATGAACTGATGTTGTCTCAGTGTTGTCATATGCCCCTACATGAACTGATGTTGTCTCAGTGTTGTCATATGCCCCTACATGAACTGATGTTGTTTCAGTGTTGTCATATGCCCCTACATGAACTGATGTTGTCTCAGTGTTGTCATATGCCCCTACATGAACTGATGTTGTCTCAGTGTGGACATATGCCCCTGCATGAACTGATGTCTGAAAAGCTGGTTGACAGAAAATGTTAAACTTCTGCTCGCATTTTTTATTTTTTATTTTTCAGTTTGTTTGTGGATTTTGAAAAGTTGACAGAGAAACTGCGTTCACATTTGTCGGGAGTCCACCTGCACCAGTACAGTACATTTTACCACTTCCTGTCCGCACTGGCTGAGAAAGACAGTATCTCCAAGATTTGGGTACAGCTGTTTATTTTGTGTCACATGATTATCTTCTCTTGTGCTCGGCTTCTGTTAGAAATATGTGGTAATTTTGTTGCTATCCCCCAACTGGGTTCTGGGGACCTACTGTGGGGGAAGCAAGAATAGACCCAGAAGCCCCCAAGTGGTTTATGGGGCCCCATTGTGGGGTAAGCAAGAATAGACACAGAAGCCCCCAAGTAGTTTCTGAGGCCCCATTGTGGGGGAAGCAAGAATAGACACAGAAGCCCCCAAGTGGTTTCTGGGGCCCCATTGTGGGGGAAGCAAGAATAGACACAGAAGCCCCCAAGTGGGTTCTAGGGACCCATTGTGGGGGAAGCAAGAATAGACACAGAAGCCCCCAAGTGTTTTCTGGGGCCCCATTGTAGGGGAAGCAAGAATAGACACAGAAGCCCCCTGACAAGCATGTCATATTAGGCAATTGATTATGGATTTCCTCTGAAGTTGGAGTGCATCTGCCTAAGAGGCAAGGAACCATCAGTCTGCATACAAATGAGGCAGATTTGTAAAACAGATATGCATGCAAAACTCAAGTTCTGGAAGAAGACCAAAATCCAGAAGTGAACGAACAATCTGGTCTGTCCACAAAAGTCTACAGCTGATGAACACTAAGAGGAAGTAAAGATATGTTGCCAGCTGCTGTGTGATCCATCCATCCGCTTAACTTCTACTGGCTGTCTCCATCCATCAGCTTAACTTCTACTGGCTGTATCCATCCATCAGCTTAACTTCTACTGGCTGTATCCATCCATCCGCTTAACTTCTACTGGCTGTATCCATCCATCAGCTTAACTTCTACTGGCTGTATCCATCCATCAGCTTTTCTTCTACTGGCTGTATCCATCCATCAGCTTAACTTCTACTGGCTGTATCTATCCATCAGCTTAACTTCTACTGGCTGTATCCATCCATCAGCTTAACTTCTACTGGCTGTATCTATCCATCAGCTTAACTTCTACTGGCTGTATCCATCCATCAGCTTAACTTCTACTGGCTGCTTCTTTTCTTCCTTCTGCATCTTTTTCCTCTTCTTTTTCGTATTTATTTGTGTGGGCGAAGAGGCAAAGTATTGCTAAAAAAAATACAAGGTCCGACACTTCAGTAATGACACTAATTCCATAAAATTAAAATAATCAACTGTTAAAGATATAACCTGTATTTATTCAAAGTAAGTCTTGTGTGCATAGATACAGTGAGTGGCACAACAAACACTTGAAAGTAGTTTTTCTCTTGTTACGGCCCTTTGGATGTCATCAATATCATCCAAAAAGCAACTTTTCAAGGGTAAGTTTAATTGTGGGAATTGAAAATAATCCCAGGGAGACAAATCAAGGGAATAAGCTGTATGATTGAGAAGATAACTTGTGTCTGAGCCAACAATTCCTGTACAACTATCTCCCGGTGAGCTGGTGCATTGTCGTGGAAAGGAAAACAACTGCCAAGTTTTCAACAGCCAGGTCGGACTTGGAGAATCCTTTTCAGTAGACATTTCACAATACTTCAGTAAACTGTCGCTGTCATAGTCTGTCCATCTAGAAACAATTGTTTGTAATAACTGCTTCGCTGATGTAGAAGCACACCAATATTTTCTACTTTTGGAGATGACATTTTTTTTTGCTTTTTGATGAAGTCTTTTGCATACTCAGCATGCTGTTCTTTGGTCATCTGACAATATATGTTGTACCAAACAGTAGGCAACCTTTTTCTTGCCCAAATATTCCAGTAAAATTTTATGTATGGTCTCTCTGTTAACACTAAATTCATTCACCGTCATCCTCACAGTCAGACGAAGATCTTCTTGTATCCGTTCTCTGACTTTTGAAATGATTTCCTCATTATGAACAGAAATTGGGCTTCCAGATCTAGTTGCATTAGTAATCTAACACCACTTTTGAATCGTGAATACCACCTGAGAATCTGTGCATGAGATAAACAATAATCCCCATAAACTTGTCACATCAGTTCAACTTTCTCAGTGGCGCTTTTACTGATTTTGTAACAATGCACCGCTGATTAGGTCAACAAAATGGCGGCTTGTTTGTTGTCTGATTATCGGGTTGCAACAAAAAAGTTACTAGATCATAGATGAAAGTTGCTTCTTTGGATTCCATGCTTTTCTTCATAGATGTCATTTTTGTCTGTCCCAAATAAAATCAGTCTCATTACTTAATTGGCAGATCTTGTATACCACAAACTGGAGGCAATAAAAGTGAATTAAACAGCAGCAGGAATATGTCAGGGCAGTCAGGCAAATAGGATACTCCAAGACAGCTAAGCTATTTGTCTCTTGCTGCCACTCTGACAACATCCATTCTTGATATGTCTGCATCAACTGCCATCATCAGCTACATGAGTTTGAACTATACTTGGTCACATGTATTCTCAGTTATCTTTGGTCACATGTATTCTGTTATCATTGGTCACATGTATTCTTTGTTATCATTGGTCACATGTATTCTCTGTTATCATTGGTGACATGTATTCTCAGTTATCATTGGTCACATGTATTCTGCTATCATTGGTGACATGTATTCTCTGTTATCATTGGTCACATGTATTCTCAGTAATCATTGGTGACATGTATTCTCAGTTATCATTGGTCACATGTATTCTGTTATCATTGGTGACATGTATCAGTTATCATTGGTGACATGTATATTGTTACCATTGGTGACATGTATTATTGGTTATCATTGGTGACATGTATTCTCAGTTATCATTGGTGACATGTATTCTGGTTTTTTTTTGGTCACATGTATTCTCAGTTATCATTGGTCACATGTATTCTCAGTTATCATTGGTCACATGTATTCTCAGTTATCATTGGTGACATGTATTCTCAGTTATCATTGGTCACATGTATTCTCAGTTATCATTGGTCACATGTATTCTCAGTTATCATTGGTTACATGTATTCTCAGTTATCATTGGTCACATGTATTCTCAGTTATCATTGGTTACATGTATTCTCAGTTATCATTGGTCACATGTATTCTCTGTTATCATTGGTCACATGTATTCTCAGTTATCATTGGTGACATGTATTCTCAGTTATTATTGGTCATATGTATTCTCAGATATCATTAGTTACATGTATTCTGTTATTATTTGTCACATGTATCAGTTATCATTGGTCACATGTATTCTCAGTTATCATTGGTCACATGTATTCTCAGTTATCGTTGATCACATGTATCAGTTATCATGGTCATATGTATTCTCAGTTATTACTGGTCACATGTATTCTCAGTTATTACTGGTCACATGTACTCTCAGTTATCATTGATCACATGTATTCTCAGTTATCATTGATCACATGTATTCTCAGTTATTACTGGTCACATGTACTCTCAGTTATCATTGGCGACATGTATGCTCAGTTATCATTGGTCACATGTACTCTCAGTTATCATTGATCACATGTATCGGTTATTATTGGTCACATGCATTCTCAGTTATCATTGGCTGCGTGAATTGTTGGCTATCAGTGATCACAAATTGTCTCTACTATCAAGTGCTAACTTCAGCTGTCATTAGTTACATCTACTGTGACCATGTCTGATGTTTGCATTTTGACATTGACATGTATTTGTGACAGAACAGTTGACAATTGTCTTCTTTTTGTTGTTGTTGTTGCCACAGATCAGCGGAAGCTCTAGTTTTGCTGCCTACAGTCAGATTCCCAAAGTAAGTCAATTTTCTGGTGTCTTGCAAAACATCAGTCATAGTTTGTATAGTTCATGGACATCACAGTGTGTTTGTGTGTGCATGTATGTTTATGTTGTTGAAATACATAACAAATGTACCTGTGTGTGTATACGCATGTGCACAAGTGTGTGCAGCTTTAATACATGAAATGTAGGCAGATTAGAGGAAATGACAAAATGGATGAAACTGCTACCTCCACCAATCACTGTCTTGTATATGTGTTGTCTGGTCAATGTTCCCTCTGACTACGTCATGTCACCCTCTAGTGGGTATCTTGTATATATGTTGTCTGCTCAATGTTCCCTCTGACTACGTCATGTCACCCTCTAGTGGGTATCTTGTATATATGTTGTCTGCTCAATGTTCCCTCTGACTACGTCATGTCACCCTCTAGTGGGTATCTTGTATATATGTTGTCTGCTCAATGTTCCCTCTGACTACGTCATGTCACCCTCTAGTGGGTATCTTGTATATATGTTGTCTGGTCAATGTTCCCTCTGACTACGTCATGTCACCCTCTAGTGGGTATCTTGTATATATGTTGCCTGCTCAATGTTCCCTCTGACTATGTCATGTCACCCTCTAGTGGGTATCTTGTATATATGTTGTCTGCTTAATGTTCCCTCTGACTACGTCATGTCACCCTCTAGTGGGTATCTTGTATATATGTTGTCTGCTCAATGTTCCCTCTACGTCATGTCACCCTCTAGTGGGTATCTTGTATATATGTTGTCTGCTCAATGTTCTCTCTGACTACGTCATGTCACCCTCTAGTGGGTATCTTGTATATATGTTGTCTGCTCAATGTTCCCTCTGACTACGTCATGTCACCCTCTAGTGGGTATCTTGTATATATGTTGTCTGCTCAATGTTCCCTCTGACTACGTCATGTCACCCTCTAGTGGGCATGTTGTGTATATGTTGTCTGCTCAATGTTCCCTCTGACTACATCATGTCACCCTCTAGTGGGTATCTTGTGTATATTTTGCCTGCTCAATGTTCCCTCTGACTACGTCATGTCACCCTCTAGTGGGTATCTTGTATATATGTTGTCTACTCAATGTTCCCTCTGACTACGTCATGTCACCCTCTAGTGGGTATCTTGTATATATGTTGTCTGCTCAATGTTCCCTCTGACTACGTCATGTCACCCTCTAGTGGGTATCTTGTATATATGTTGTCTGCTCAATGTTCCCTCTGACTATGTCATGTCACCCTCTAGTGGGTATCTTGTATATATGTTGTCTACTCAATGTTCCCTCTGACTACTTCATGTCACCCTATAGTAGGTATCTTGTATATATGTTGTCTGGTCAATGTTCCCTCTGACTACGTCATGTCACCCTCTAGTGGGTCTTGTCTTGTCTTGTCCACAATTGCCTCACAGCGTAGTGGGGAGTCGCAGTTTTCTATCCTGGGCCAGGTGTGTTGCACGTGCTGTTGTTAGTCCGTGTTGCCTCAGGATCTCTGATATATTGTCTATCCATCGTACTCTCGGTCTGCCTCTTGCTCTAGGGCAGTAGTGTGCTCGTAGAGGCAGTTGGTCGGTTTGCATTCGCATCAAGTGGCCAAACCACTCTATTTGTTGCTTCTTTATGTATTGCAGGCATGGTGTGGTTCCCACAATTGCTCTAATGTTCTCGTTTCGAACTCTGTCTCTCCTTGTGACATTGGCAGCCGAACGTAAGCATCTCATTTCGCACGTTGTGATCTTTTTCTCCTGTGCTCTTGTTAGGGACCAGGTTTGGCATTGGTATCAGAGGGTTGGTATAAACATGCAATTTATCAGTTGTCGGTTTAGTGACATAGTGATGCTAGGGTGTTTTAGCAGTGGGTATCTTGTATATATGTTGTCTGGTCAATATTCCCTCTGACTACGTCATGTCACCCTCTAGTGGGTATCTTGTATATATGTTGTCTGGTCAATGTTCCCTCTGACTACGTCATGTCACCCTCTAGTGGGTATGTTGTGTATATGTTCCCTCTGACTACGTCATGTCACATTCTAGTGGGTATCTTGTATATATGTTGTCTGCTCAATGTTCCCTCTGACTATGTCATGTCACCCTCTAGTGGGTATCTTGTATATCTGTTGTCTGCTCAATGTTCCCTCTGACTACGTCATGTCACCCTCTAGTGGGTATCTTGTATATATGTTGTCTGCTCAATGTTCCCTCTGACTACGTCATGTCACCCTCTAGTGGGCATGTTGTGTATATGTTGTCTGCTCAATGTTCCATCTGACTACGTCATGTCACCCTCTAGTGGGCATGTTGTGTATATGTTGCCTGCTCAGTGTTCCCTCTGACTACGTCATGTCACCCTCTAGTGGGCATGTTGTATATATGTTGTCTGCTCAATGTTCCCTCTGACTACGTCATGTCACCCTCTAGTGGGTATCTTGTAAATATGTTGTCTGCTCAATGTTCCCTCTGACTACGTCATGTCACCCTCTAGTGGGTATCTTGTATATGTGTTGTCTGCTTAATGTTCCCTCTGACTATGTCATGTCACCCTCTAGTGGCCATCTTGTATATGTGTTGTCTGCTCAATGTTCCCTCTGACTACGTCATGTCACCCTCTAGTGGGTATCTTGTATATATGTTGTCTGCTCAATGTTCCCTCTGACTATATCAGATCACCCTCTAGTGGGTATCTTGTATATATGTTGTCTGCTCAATGTTCCCTCTGACTACGTCATGTCACCCTCTAGTGGGTATCTTGTATATATGTTGCCTGCTAAATGTTCCCTCTGACTACGTCATGTCACCCTCTAGTGGGTATCTTGTATATATGTTGCCTGCTCAATGTTCCCTCTGACTACGTCATGTCACCCTCTAGTGGGTATCTTGTATATATGTTGTCTGCTCAATGTTCCCTCTGACTACGTCATGTCACCCTCTAGTGGGTATCTTGTATATATGTTGCCTGCTCAATGTTCCCTCTGACAACGTCATGTCACCCTCTAGTGGGTATCTTGTATATATGTTGTCTGCTCAATGTTCCCTCTGACTATGTCATGTCACCCTCTTGTGGGTATCTTGTATATATGTTGTCTGGTCAATGTTCCCTCTGACTACGTCATGTCACCCTCTAGTAAGTATGTTGTCTATATGTTCCCTCTGACTACGTCATGTCACCCTCTAGTGGGTATCTTGTATATATGTTGTCTGCTCAATGTTCCCTCTGACTACGTCATGTCACCCTCTAGTGGGTATCTTGTATATATGTTGTCTGCTCAATGTTCCCTCTGACTACGTCATGTCACCCTCTAGTGGGTATCTTGTATATATGTTGTCTGCTCAATGTTCCCTCTGACTACGTCATGTCACCCTCTAGTGGGTGTCTTGTATATATGTTGTCTGGTCAACGTTCCCTCTGACTACGTCATGTCACCCTCTAGTGGGTATCTTGTATATGTGTTGTCTGCTCAATGTTCCCTCTGACTACGTCATGTCACCCTCTAGTGGGTATCTTGTATATATGTTGTCTGCTCAATGTTCCCTCTGACTACGTCATGTCACCCTCAAGTGGGTATCTTGTATATATGTTGTCTGCTCAATGTTCCCTCTGACTACGTCATGTCACCCTCTAGTGGGTATCTTGTATATATGTTGTCTGCTCAATGTTCCCTCTGACTACGTCATGTCACCCTCTAGTGGGCATGTTGTGTATATGTTGTCTGCTCAATGTTCCCTCTGACTGCGTCATGTCACCCTCTAGTGGGTATCTTGTATATATGTTGTCTGGTCAATGTTCCCTCTGACTACGTCATGTCACCCTCTAGTGGGTCTTGTCTTGTCTTGTCTTGTCCACAATTGCCTCACAGCGTAGTGGGGAGTCGCAGTTTTCTATCCTGGGCCAGGTGTGTTGCACGTGTTGTTGTTAGTCCGTGTTGCCTCAGGATCTCTGATATATTGTCTATCCATCGTACTCTCGGTCTGCCTCTTGCTCTAGGGCAGTAGTGTGCTCGTAGAGGCAGTTGGTCGGCTTGCATTCGCATCAAGTGGCCAAAACACTCTATTTGTTGCTTCTTTATGTATTGCAGGCATGGTGTGGTTCCCACAATTGCTCTAATGTTCTCGTTTAGAACTCTGTCTCTCCTTGTGACATTGGCAGCCGAACGTAAGCATCTCATTTCGCACGTTGTGATCTTTTTCTTCTGTGCTCTTGTTAGGGACCAGGTTTGGCATTGGTAGCAGAGGGTTGGTATAAACATGCAATTTATCAGTTGTCGTTTTAGTGACATAGTGATGCTAGAGTGTTTTAGCAGTGGGTATCTTGTATATATGTTGTCTGGTCAATATTCCCTCTGACTACGTCATGTCACCCTCTAGTGGGTATCTTGTATATATGTTGTCTGGTCAATGTTCCCTCTGACTACGTCATGTCACCCTCTAGTGGGTATGTTGTATATATGTTGTCTGCTCAATGTTCCCTCTGACTACACTACGTCATGTCACCCTCTAGTGGGTATCTTGTATATGTGTTGTCTGCTCAATGTTCCCTCTAACTACGTCATGTCACCCTCTAGTGGGTATCTTGTATATATGTTGTCTGCTCAATGTTCCCTCTGACTACGTCATGTCACCCTCTAGTGGGTATCTTGTATATATGTTGTCTGGTCAATGTTCCCTCTGACTATGTCATGTCACCCTCTTGTGGGTATCTTGTATATGTGTTGTCTGCTCAATGTTCCCTCTGACTACGTCATGTCATCCTCTAGTGGGTATCTTGTATATATGTTGTCTGGTCAATGTTCCCTCTGACTATGTCATGTCACCCTCTTGTGGGTATCTTGTATATGTGTTGTCTGCTCAATGTTCCCTCTGACTATGTCATTTCACCCTCTAGTGGGTATCTTGTATATGTGTTGTCTGCTCAATGTTCCCTCTGACTATGTCATGTCACCCTCTAGTGGCCATCTTGTATATGTGTTGTCTGCTCAATGTTCCCTCTGACTACGTCATGTCACCCTCTAGTGGGTATCTTGTATATATGTTGTCTGCTCAATGTTCCCTCTGACTACGTATTGTCACCCTCTAGCGGGTATCTTGTATATATGTTGCCTGCTCAATGTTCCCTCTGACTATGTCATGTCACCCTCTAGTGGTTATCTTGTATATATGTTGCCTGCTCAATGTTCCCTCTGACTACGTATTGTCACCCTCTAGCGGGTATCTTGTATATATGTTGCCTGCTCAATGTTCCCTCTGACTATGTCATGTCACCTTCTAGTGGGTATCTTGTATATATGTTGTCTGCTCAATGTTCCCTCTGACTACACTACGTCATATCACCCTCTAGTGGGTATCTTGTATATGTGTTGTCTGCTCAATGTTCCCTCTGACTACGTCATGTCACCCTCTAGTGGTTATCTTGTATATATGTTGCCTGCTCAATGTTCCCTCTGACTACGTATTGTCACCCTCTAGTGGGTATCTTGTATATATGTTGTCTGCTCAATGTTCCCTCTGACTACGTCATGTCACCCTCTAGTGGGTATCTTGTATATATGTTGTCTGCTCAATGTTCCCTCTGACTACGTCATGTCACCCTCTAGTGGGTATCTTGTATATATGTTGTCTGCTCAATGTTCCCTCTGACTACGTCATGTCACCCTCTAGTGGCCATCTTGTAAACAACCTACAGTGTATTGGTGATGGGCCTGTGATCACTGCAAATGAAATTTATCACATAGAATTGCCTGAACTTTCATATAAAACATTTCAGGGATTTTATGACAAAACAATGCATTAGATTTCACATAAGACATTTCCTGAGATTTTCCTGGCTTGTTTTCAGCACAAAGCTCTGCTTTCTCCGTCACCCCTGGCGGCCTTGAAGTCTGTGAAGACAGATGCAGAACTGACCGGGATGGAGAGAGCTCAGGTTAGTGCCAGGATTGATCCTTCTAGCTGTTTGCTGTCAACATTTATCTTCCTAACTGTTTGCTGTCAAAATTTATCTTCCTAGCTGTTTGCTGTCAAAATTTATCTTCCTAGCTGTTTGCTGTCAACATTTATCTTCCTAGCTGTTTGCTGTCAACATTTATCTTCCTAGCTGTTTGCTGTCAACATTTATCTTCCTAGCTGTTTGCTGTTAAAATTTATCTTCCTAGCTGTTTGCTGTTAAAATTTATCTTCCTAGCTGTTTGCTGTCAAAATTGATCTTTCTAGCTGTTTGCTGTCAACATTTATCCTCCTAGCTGTTTGCTGTCAGAATTTATCTTCCTATCTCTTGGCTATCATAATGTATCCTCCTAGCTATTTGTCTGCGAGAATTTATATTCCTTGCCATTCACTGTCTGAATTTATATTCCTAGCTGTTTGTTGTCAGAATTTATTCTCCTAGCTGTTTGCTGTCAGAATTTATGTTCCTAGCTGTTTGCTGTCAGAATTTATGTTCCTAGCTGTTTGTTGTCAGAATTTATGTTCCTAGCTGTTTTCTATCAGAATTTATCATGTTTATCCTAGATGTCTAGATGTTTACACTTGTGATCTGTCAGAATCAATGTTGTGTAAATGTTTACAGTTATAGTCTGTCAGAATCAATGTTGTGTAAATGTTTACAGTTATAGTCTGTCAGAATCAATGTTGTGTAAATGTTTACAGTTATAGTCTGTCAGAATCAATGTTGTGTAAATGTTTACAGTTATGGTCTGTCAGAATCAATGTTGTGTAAATGTTTACAGTTATGGTCTGTCAGAATCAATGTTGTGTAAATGTTTACAGTTATAGTCTGTCAGAATCAATGTTGTGTAAATGTTTACAGTTATAGTCTGTCAGAATCAATGTTGTGTAAATGTTTACAGTTATGGTCTGTCAGAATCAATGTTGTGTAAATGTTTACAGTTATAGTCTGTCAGAATCAATGTTGTGTAAATGTTTACAGTTATGGTCTGTCAGAATCAATGTTGTGCAAATGTTTAGTTATAGTCTGTCAGAATCAATGTTGTGTAAACGTTTACAGTTATAGTCTGTCAGAATCAATGTTATGTAAATGTTTATAGTTATGGTCTGTCAGAATCAATGTTGTGCAAATGTTTACAGTTATAGTCTGTCAGAATCAATGTTGTGTAAATGTTTACAGTTATAGTCTGTCAGAATCAATGTTGCGTAAATGTTTACAGTTATAGTCTGTCAGAATCAATGCTGTGTAAATGTTTACAGTTATAGTCTGTCAGAATCAATGTTGTGTAAATGTTTACAGTTATAGTCTGTCAGAATCAATGTTGGGTAAATGTTTACAGTTATAGTCTGTCAGAATCAATGCTGCGTAAATGTTTACAGTTAAAGTCTGTCAGAATCAATGTTGTGTAAATGTTTACAGTTATAGTCTGTCAGAATCAATGTTGTGTAAATGTTTACAGTTATAGTCTGTCAGAATCAATGTTGCGTAAATGTTTACAGTTAAAGTCTGTCAGAATCAATGTTGTGTAAATGTTTACAGTTATAGTCTGTCAGAATCAATGTTGTGTAAATGTTTACAGTTATAGTCTGTCAGAATCAATGTTGTGTAAATGTTTACAGTTATGGTCTGTCAGAATCAATGTTGTGTAAATGTTTACAGTTATGGTCTGTCAGAATCAATGTTGTGTAAATGTTTACAGTTATAGTCTGTCGGAATGTGTATTGTGTAGGTGTTTACAGTTGTGGTCTGTCAGAACTAATGTTGTGTAAAAGTTTGTTCTGCCTCTGTCTTATTGAGTGTGGGTGTTTACAGTTGTAGTCTATCAGGATTGATGTTGTGTTTTGTTTTGTTCTACCCCTGTCTTATTGAGTGTGGGTGTTTACAGTTGTAGTCTATCAGTATTGATGTTGTGTTTTGTTTTGTTCTACCTCTGTCTTATTGAGTGTGGGTGTTCATGAGATATTAATGTATGTTTTTCTGATTGGCTTGCCTGTGAGAACCTAAACAGGCTGTGCTCTGAAGGTAAAGTTCAGGACCATGGTACTTCCTTGTGTTGTGCTGTTGCTGATTTTAGTGGTTGCACACCCATTACAGTAGTTTTCTCAATAGTTTTGCCTAGCACAGTGGTTTCTACACAGCCTTGCCCAGCACAGTGGTTTCTCCACAACCTTGCCCAACACAGTGGTTTCTCCACAGCCTTGCCCAGCACAGTGGTTTCTCCACAACCTTGCCCAACACAGTGGTTTTTCCACAGCCTTGCCCAGCACAGTGGTTTCTCCACAACCTTGCCCAACACAGTGGTTTCTCCACAGCCTTGCCCAGCACAGTAGTTTCTCCACAACCTTGCCCAACACAGTGGTTTCTTCACTGTCTTGCCCAGCACAGTGATTTCTCCCTTGCCTTGCCCAGCACAATGGTTTCTCCACAGCCTTGTCCAGCACAGTGATTTCTCCACAATCTTGCTCAGCACAGTGGTATCTCCACTGCCTTGCTCAGCACAGTGGTATCTCCACTGCCTTGCTCAGCACAGTGGTATCTCCACTGCCTTGCTCAGCACAGTGGTATCTTCACAGCCTTGCTCAGCACAGTGATTTCTCCACAACCTTTCTCAGCACATTGGTATCTCCACTGCCTTGCTCAGCACAGTGATTTCTCCACAGCCTTGCCCAGCACAGTGATTTCTTCACCGCCTTGCCCAGCACAGTGGTTTTTCCACAGCCTTGCCCAGCACAGTGGTTTTTCCACAGCCTTGTCCAGCACAGTGATTTCTCCACAGCCTTGTCCAGCACAGTGATTTCTCCACAGCCTTGCCCAGCACAATGGTTTCTCCACAGCCTTGTCCAGCACAGTGATTTCTCCCTTGCCTTGCCCAGCACAATGGTTTCTCCACTGCCTTGCTCAGCACATTGGTATCTCCACTGCCTTGCTCAGCACAGTGGTATCTCCACTGCCTTGCTCAGCACATTGGTATCTCCACTGCCTTGCTCAGCACATTGGTATCTCCACTGCCTTGCTCAGCACAGTGGTATCTCCACTGCCTTGCTCAGCACATTGGTATCTCCACTGCCTTGCTCAGCACAGTGGTATCTCCACTGCCTTGCTCAGCACATTGGTATCTCCACTGCCTTGCTCAGCACATTGGTATCTCCACTGCCTTGCTCAGCACATTGGTATCTCCACTGCCTTGCTCAGCACATTGGTATCTCCACTGCCTTGCTCAGCACAGTGGTTTTTCCACAGCTTTGAGATTTGTTTGTCAATCTAAATTTTTTCCCCTCCCAGGTGAAGGATGCAGTTGCCTTGTGTGAATTCTTTGTCTGGCTGGAAAAAGAGGTAAGCAGTGTTGATGGATTTTAATCTGTTTTGTTTGGGAGAACTTTCCACAGTGTGTTGAATGTCTGCCATACTTGGAGTGACATAGGTGACCCCATCAGGGCTGGAGCTGGTCTGGTGTTTTCAGCTGTTATCTGGCCCCACCCCAATTTCATCACTGCGTACATACCACACTGTTGATCACTGAGGACATACCACACTGTTGATCACTGTGTACATACCACACTGTTGATCACTGAGAACATACGCCATTGTTGATCACTGAGGACATACACCATTGTTGATCACTGAGGACATACGACACCATTGATCACTGAGGACATATCACACCATTGATCACTGAGGACATATCACACCATTGATCACTGAGGACATATCACACCATTGATCACTGAGGACATATCACACCATTGATCACTGAGGACATATCACACCATTGATCACTGAGGACATACGACACCATTGATTACTAAGGACATATCACACCATTGATCACTGAGGACATATCACACCATTGATTACTGAGGACATAGGACACCATTGATTACTAAGGACATATCACACCATTGATCACTAGGACATATCACACCATTGATCACTGAGGACATATCACACCATTGATTACTGAGGACATACAGCATCATTGATCACTTAATGCTGTTCAGGTTCTGTTGTAATTGGTATCATTACAAACTAAATGCTTTAACTCTTTTACCTGAGAAGCTACAAAACAGACACTTCTCTTTGTGTCTGATTCCCCATAAATGTCACTTTTCCTACTTGTCTACTGTGCCGTGTTTAAATAGTTAATTATAGTGGCTGGTTTGCACATTAAGGAGGTCACGGTGTCAACACATTAACTTAACATCTAGGAGGTCACGATGTCAACACATTAACTCAACATCTAGGAGGTCACGATGTCAACACATTAACTCAACATAACATTTAACTGGGTTTACCTTTGCACCAAATAGCTTTTCTAAAGTCAGGTTGACCTCACATTTTCCCTTGAATCTCAGTGATCGGGGTCATGGGGTCTTTTGATGAGTTCACTGATGCCTGTGTTTTTCAGGTTCCAGGGAGTTTATACCATTTAGTGCTTCACCCTGATCATGTTTTTTTTTTTTTGTTACTCTCTTCAAAGATATTTATTTATTTAATTTTTTTTTTTTCAAAATCAAAAATGTAGACAAATTAGTGTTTAACAAATTTTTAAAAAAAAGGATAATTTACCTAAACATGTTGGGAAAAGGGTAGGGGGTGTTACATGAATTGTAGATGTCAGGCCGCACATGAAGGTGTTACATCAATTGTAGATGTCAGGCTGCACATGAAGGTGTTACATCAATTGTAGACGTCAGGCCGCACATGAAGGTGTTACATGAATTGTAGATGTCAGGCTGCACATGAAGGTGTTACACCAATTGTAGACGTCAGGCTGCACATGAAGGTGTTACATCAATTGTAGACGTCAGGCTGCACATGAAGGTGTTACATTAATTGTAGACGTCAGGCCGCACATGAAGGTGTTACATCAATTGTAGACGTCAGGCTGCACATGAAGGTGTTACACCAATTGTAGACGTCAGGCCGCACATGAAGGTGTTACATCAATTGTAGACGTCAGGCTGCACATGAAGGTGTTACATCAATTGTAGACGTCAGGCTGCACATGAAGGTGTTACATCAATTGTAGATGTCAGGCCGCACATGAAGGTGTTACATCAATTGTAGATGTCAGGCTGCACATGAAGGTGTTGCATCAATTGTAGATTTCAGGCTGCACATGAAGGTGTTACATGAATTGTAGATGTCAGGCTGCACATGAAGGTGTTACATCAATTGTAGATGTCAGGCTGCACATGAAGGTGTTACATCAATTGTAGATGTCAGGCTGCACATGAAGGTGTTACATCAATTGTAGATGTCAGGCTGCACATGAAGGTGTTACATCAATTGTAGACGTCAGGCTGCACATGAAGGTGTTACATGAATTGTAGACGTCAGGCTGCATATGAAGGTGTTACATCAATTGTAGACATCAGGCTGCACATGAAGGTGTTACATCAATTGTAGACGTCAGGCTGCACATGAAGGTGTTACATCAATTGTAGACATCAGGCTGCACATGAAGGTGTTACATCAATTGTAGACGTCAGGCTGCACATGAAGGTGTTACATCAATTGTAGACGTCAGGCCGCACATGAAGGTGTTACATCAATTGTAGATGTCAGGCTGCACATGAAGGTGTTACATCAATTGTAGATGTCAGGCTGCACATGAAGGTGTTACATCAATTGTAGATGTCAGGCTGCACATGAAGGTGTTACATCAATTGTAGACGTCAGGCTGCACATGAAGGTGTTACATGAATTGTAGACGTCAGGCTGCACATGAAGGTGTTACATCAATTGTAGACGTCAGGCTGCACATGAAGGTGTTACATCAATTGTAGACGTCAGGCTGCACATGAAGGTGTTACATCAATTGTAGACGTCAGGCTGCACATGAAGGTGTTACATCAATTGTAGACGTCAGGCCGCACATGAAGGTGTTACATCAATTGTAGACGTCAGGCCGCACATGAAGGTGTTACATCAATTGTAGATGTCAGGCCGCACATGAAGGTGTTACATCATTTGTAGATGTCAGGCCGCACATGAAGGTGTTACATTAATTGTAGACGTCAGGCTGCACATGAAGGTGTTACATGAATTGTAGAAGTCAGACTGCACATAAAGGTGTTACATCAATTGTAGATGTCAGGCTGCACATGAAGGTGTTACATGAATTGTAGACGTCAGGCTGCACATGAAGGTGTTACATCAATTGTAGATTTCAGGCCGCATATGAAGGTGTTACATCATTTGTAGATGTCAGGCCGCACATGAAGGTGTTACATCAATTGTAGACGTCAGGCCGCACATGAAGGTGTTACATGAATTCTGTATGAGTCTCTGTTGATGAAACATGCATCTTGTCACACAGGTGCACACAGGACGGGTCACAGAGATCTTGGCTGCTGACAAGGCAGAATATTTCAGAAGGTAAGCTCTGACATTTGTTGAATTAGAGCTGCAGTTCATTGTTGTTTATCTGTTGTTTTAAATTGTGTTTATTTATCTATATTTGCGTACCGTTTGTCTGGTATGTTTATCTGTTGTCATTATTGGAGAAATAATAAGTGAACATCAACAATAGCCATCCATTGATCGCCCATCCAATAAATATGTATTATTGATGTGTTTTTGTTGCACACCGTCCTTGTATGCTGAGAACCATTCTTGAAAAATTTGACCTTACCTTTTATACTATTGACCAAATGAATGTTACTATTGACAACTTGTCTGTTATTGTTGACCATTTGTGTGTTACTGTTGACATCTGTCTGTTATTGTTGTACATCTTTATGTTACTGTTGACATCTGTCTGTTATTGTTGTACATCTTTATGTTACTGTTGACATCTGTCTGTTATTGTTGTACATCTTTATGTTACTGTTGACATCTGTCTGTTATTGTTGTACATCTTTATGTTACTGTTGACATCTGTCTGTTATCGTTGTACATCTTTATGTTACTGTTGACATCTGTCTGTTATTGTTGTACATCTTTATGTTACTGTTGACATCTGTCTGTTATTGTTGTTCATCTTTATGTTACTGTTGACATCTGTCTGTTATTGTTGTTCATCATTATGTTACTGTTGACATCTGTCTGTTATTGTTGTTCATCATTATGTTACTGTTGACCAACTAAAGGTTATTGTTGACCATCTGTATGTTACTGTTGACATCTGTCTGTTATTGTTGTTCATCATTATGTTACTGTTGACATCTGTCTGTTATTGTTGTTCATCATTATGTTACTGTTGACATCTGTCTGTTATTGTTCTACATCTTTATGTTACTGTTGACATCTGTCTGTTATTGTTGTACATCTTTATGTTACTGTTGACATCTGTCTTTTATTGTTGTACATCTTTATGTTACTGTTGACATATGTCTGTTATTGTTGTACATCTTTATGTTACTGTTGACATCTGTCTGTTATTGTTGTTCATCTGTATGTTACTGTTGACATCTGTCTGTTATTGTTGTACATCTTTATGTTACTGTTGACATCTGTCTGTTATTGTTGTACATCTTTATGTTACTGTTGACATCTGTCTGTTATTGTTGTACATCTTTATATTACTGTTGACATCTGTCTGTTATTGTTGTACATCTTTATGTTACTGTTGACATCTGTCTGTTATTGTTGTTCATCATTATGTTACTGTTGACATCTGTCTGTTATTGTTGTTCATCATTATGTTACTGTTGACATCTGTCTGTTACTGTTGAACATCTTTATGTTACTGTTGACATCTGTCTGTTATTGTTGTTCATCTTTATGTTATTGTTGACTTCTGTCTGTTATTGTTGTACATCTTTATGTTATTGTTGACATCCATCTGTTATTGTTGTACATCTTTATGTTACTGTTGACATCTGTCTGTTATTGTTGTACATCTTTATGTTACTGTTGACCATCTAAAAGTTATTGTTGACCATCTGAATGTTACTGTTGACCACCGGTCTGTTACAGTACAGTTACAAATGACCAGTTGTGTTTGTTGGTTTCAGCCAGCAGGAAGATTTCATCTCCCTCAGTTTTGACACAATCTCCAGTGTTGGCTCACATGGAGCAATCATCCACTACAAGTAGGTATATTGTTGTGTACTGTTGTGAACATGCTTGAACCTGCCTGTGCTCAGTACATCATTACACTTGCATCAGTCACATCACCATCATTGGACACTTGCATCAGTCACATCACCATCATTAGACACTTGCATCAGTCACCTCACCATCATTAGACACTTGCATCAGTCACCTCACCATCATTAGACACTTGCATCAGTCACATCACCATCATTAGACACTTGCATCAGTCACCTCACCATCATTAGACACTTGCATCAGTCACATCAGCATCATTGGACACTTGCATCAGTCACCTCACCATCATTGGACACTTGCATCAGTCACATCAGCATCATTAGACACTTGCATCAGTCACATCACCATCATTAGACACTTGCATCAGTCACCTCACCATCATTAGACACTTGCATCAGTCACCTCACCATCATTAGACACTTGCATCAGTCACATCACCATCATTAGACACTTGCATCAGTCACCTCACCATCATTAGACACTTGCATCAGTCACATCAGCATCATTAGACACTTGCATCAGTCACCTCACCATCATTAGACACTTGCATCAGTCACTAGAGATGGAGAATAGAAGGCTTCACCCCAACACCACAGCACTAAAATTTGTGAGATGTGCTGGTTACCTATGGCTGTGGACAGAGGCAGAGTCATGAACTGGGTGTAAAGAACCAGCATGGTAGTGGTGGTCTCTCTCAGGTCAGTGCACAGTGAAGGTGGTGAAAGAGGCTGGTTGACAGGTGGGAGAGCAGCTCGCTGAATCCTGTTTGAGATGCAGTTGATAAAATAATAATGAGGCACATATTGCGCAAGGTTCACATTCCTGAGGCTAAGCACTCTTAGTGAAGATCTGTATGAGACAAGTGTTATGAACAGTGAAGCCATGTCTGATGTTGGAAATATTCAGATGTACAGCAGGAGACTGATTCCCAAGTTCCACAGGCCAAGTTCCTTTCCCCCCTCCCCCCCCTCCACCCCCCTCCCCCTCCACCCACCCACCCCCCCTCCACACCCCCCCCCCCTCCCCCTCCCCCCTCAGACAGTATCAATAATGTGAAGAAGCCAGAATATTCAGGGACCTCTTGCCTATGCAGTTTTTCTTATTAATTGTTATATCCAGAAACTAGTGTAGATTAAGAGGCTGGTGTAGCATATAGCATTTAGAGACTGATTTAGCATTTAGAGGCTGGTGTAGAATGTGGCATTTAGAGACAGGTGTAGAATATAGCATTAAGAGACTGATGTAGAATGTAGCAATTAGAGACTGATGTAGCATTTAGAGAATGGTGTAGCATGTAGCATTTAGAGAATGGTGTAGCATATAGCATTTAGAGACTGGTGTAGCATATAGCATTTAGAGACTGGTGTAGAATATAGCATTTAGAGACATGTGAAGCATACAGTATTTAAACACTGTTGTAGCAAATAACAGCTAGAAACAAATGTATCATACAGCATGTAGAAACAGATATGACCTAACCTATAGAAACCATTGTATAGGTTATTATAGAAACTAGCATCACATAACAAATGAAAACTGTGTATAGATTATAGAAACTGGTGTTAGCCTATAGAAACTGGTGTTAGCCTATATAAACTGGTGTTAGCCTATAGAAACTGGTGTTAGCCTATAGAAACTGGTGTTAGCCTATAGAAACTGGTGTTAGCCTATAGAATCTGGTGTTAGCCTATAGAAACTGGTGTTAGCCTATAGAAACTGGTGTTAGCCTATAGAAACTGGTGTGAGCCTATAGAAACTGGTGTGAGCCTATAGAAACTGGTGTGAGCCTATAGAAACTGGTGTTAGCCTATAGAAACTGGTATGAGCCTATAGAAACTGGTGTGAGCCTATAGAAACTGGTGTTAGCCTATAGAAAAAGGTGTTACCCTATAGAAACTGGTGTCCACAGACCAAGTCAAGAAACAGATCGTACAGTGACAACAGAGGAGATCTATCTCATCGATTCTGGAGCTCAGTACAGGTAACATCTCTCTTTTACCCCCACCACCATCTCTACCTCATCCATTCTGGAGCTCAGTACAGGTAACATCTCTCTTTTACCCCCACCACCATCTCTACCTCATCCATTCTGGAGCTCAGTACAGGTAACATCTCTCTTTTACCCCCACCCCCATCTCTACCTCATTGTGTGTGGTGAGATAAAAGCTACACATTAAAATATGTAGCCTGGGATATTGTGGAGTTTGTCTAGAGGAAACACACTGACAGTCTTCAGCATGTGAACAGAGAAGGAAACTGGCTGACAGTCTTCAGCATGTGAACAGAGAAGGAAACTGGCTGACAAGTGTCTAGAGGAAACACACTGACAGTCTTCAGCATGTGAACAGAGAAGGAAACTGGCTGACAAGTGTCTAGAGGAAACACACTGACAGTCTTCAGCATGTGAACAAGAAGGAAACTGGCTGACAAGTGTCTAGAGGAAACACACTGACATTCTTCAGCATGTGAACAGAGAAGGAAACTGGCTGACAAGTGTCTAGAGGAAACACACTGACAGTCTTCAGCATGTGAACAGAGAAGGAAACTGGCTGACAAGTGTCTAGAGAAAACACACTGACAGTCTTCAGCATGTGAACAGAGAAGGAAACTGGCTGACAAGTGTCTAGAGGAAACACACTGACAGTCTTCAGCATATGAACAGAGACGGAAACTGGCTGACAAGTGTCTAGGGGAAACACACTGACAGTCTTCATTATATGAACAGAGACGGAAACTGGCTGACAAGCCTTATCTTTCTCGGAAACTGATGTCCTGCATCATCATGTAGCAAGTCTCTTGCAGAACGTCGCTCTCATCACGGTCTGCCTGAAATAAACTCAGTCTATCACTAGCTGTCCCTTCTTGTGTGCTTTTATATTCAATGAGTCACTTATATCCTGCGCCCATCTTATGTTGGTCAACCGCTGCCTCTCCTTCCTAGTACCGTGCCTTCTAGTATTATATGTTGCACTCTGTCATGGTGCTTAATATGACCTAAATATTTCAGCTTCTGAGACAAGATGCTGTTTATTAGCCAATCTTTTTTTGATGTTCAGATCTTTCAAGATGTCAGTATTTCTCCTCTCCTTTGTCCAAGATATTCTGAGAATCTTTCTATATCATGTCAGCTCAAAATCCCTTATTTTCTTTTGTAATGACTGGGAGATAGTCCACGACCCATATCCATAGGTTGCTACAGGAAAGATGCATGCTCTCAGAATTTTTATTTTTTATTTCCTTGCTGGTGCTTCACCATAGGCTTTTAATGCTGTTTGATCTTGGCATTGCTATTGCCATCCTCCTTTTAACTTATTTCAGACAGTCACAATTGCTATTTATTATAGAGCCTAGATATTCAAAGATAGTGACATTTTCAGTGTCTTCAACATTTATTGTTATTTATGGGTGAAATCTAGTTTTTGTCTTTTGTTATAGTTGGTATGGAATCTCTCTGGAAATTGATGGGATTGCACAGAAAATTGTTAGCTCAGTAAGAGCAACATATAAGGACATGAAAGGATGAGTTCTTCATGAGGTGGAGCTAACAGGTACATTTGAAATAAGAACATGTATCTGACAGGGATGTCTTCTGTCATCTCTTCTCCTTTTTTTACTGGCAGTAGCCTGGATTATGAAGACAACTGCTATAAAACAGCTTGATGACCTTGACTTTACTAATGATATTTCTTGTCACATATTTGAGTGCAGGCGATTCTGCTTCTTTGCTAGCACTAGATTTTTTTCTTTGGGAGACGCCGGTGTGTTGGGAAATGAACAGGCGGACAGACTGGCTGGCTCTGCACAACTTGGTGGAACACTAATGCATGATAAGGCGGACGTGGTTAGTGCCTTGTGGGAGAGCGTGTACAGTTCAGAGGAGCAGATGGATGACCACAGTCTAGTGAGATTAATGCAGCGGGGAGTGATAAGAGTTTCTGGCAGATGCGCGAGGCTCAGAGGAAAGGGCAAACTGACGTTTAATCAGAATACTACTGGCACCATTAGTATCGGAACTCTGCACTGGCTGCTGAAGATGGAGCGCTTATGGGAGTGCCCTGAGTGCTGTGATGTTGGTTCTTGAATCAAATTGAATCAAATCAACATTAGAAACAAATTTTACTTGTGTAATTTTGTTCTGTCACATGTTTTACTTGTGTAAACTTGTTTCTGTAAGATTTACATATGTAACTCTTGTTGTTGTTTACTGCCATATATTTGACAGAAGTGGGACCACAGATACAACCAGAACAGTCCACCTGGGCACTCCCTCCCAGCATGAACAGGTAGGACAGTGGCTGTCATCTAGTTTATTCATACAGCTGGACAGAAGTTGTCTTGTAGACATGAGTTGACAAGCAGACAGGAGTTGACCTGTAGGCATGAGTTGATGTGTAGACATGAGTTGACCTTTAGGCATGAGTTGTCCTGTAGATAGATGATCTGTAGCCATAAGTTGTCCTGTAGACAGGAGTTGACCTCTAGACATGAGTTGACCTGTAGGCATGAGTTGTCCTGTAGATAGATGATCTGTAGCCATAAGTTGTCCTATAGACAGGAGTTGACCTGTAGGCATGAGTTGTCCTATAGACATGAGTTGACCAGTAGACATGAGTTGTCCTATAGACATGAGTTGACCAGTATCCATGTTTTAATGTCTTGAGTGCATGAGAGGACACATGTGAACATGTCTCTTGTTACCGGCAGGAATGTTTCACCAGAGTTCTCAAGGGACACATCAACCTGTCCAGTGTTGTCTTCCCAACTAATGTCAAAGGTCAGTGTATAGCAAGCGTTGTCTTGTGTACGTTGTCAGTAGAGCCATGGACCAACCAAACACTTTGTTGTATCACGTACACTAGGCACCATATTTTCATGTTAGCTGTACCAACCAAACACTTTGTTGTACTGTGTACACTAGACACCACATTGTCATGTTAGCTGTACCAACCAAACACTTTGTTGTACTGTGTACACTAGGCAACATATTTTCATGTTAACTGTACCAACCAAATACTTTGTTGTACTGTGTACACTAGACACCACATTGTCATGTTAGCTGTACCAACCAAATACTTTGTTGTACTGTGTACACTAGACACCACATTGTCATGTTAGCTGTACCAACCAAATACTTTGTTGTACCATGCACACTAGACACCACATTGTCATGTTAGCTGTACCAACCAAATACTTTGTTGTACTGTGTAAACTAGACACCACATTGTCATGTTAGCTGTACCAACTAAACACTTTGTTGTACTGTGTACACTAGACACCATGTTTGCATGTTAGCTGTACCAACCAAATACTTTGTTGTACCATGCACACTAGACACCACTTTTCCATGTTAGCTGTAACAACCAAACACTTTGTTGTACTGTGTACACTAGGCATCATGTTTTTATGTTAGGAGTACTAACTAAACACTTGTTGTACTGTGTACACTAGACACCACTTTTCCATGTTAACTGAAACAACCAAACACTTTGTTGTACTGTGTACACTAGGCATCATGTTTTCATGTTAGGAGTACTAACTAAACACTTGTACTGTGTACACTAGACACCACTTTTCCATGTTAGCTGTACCAACCAAACACTTTGTTGTACTGTGTACACTAGACACCACATATCCATGTTGGCTGTACCAACAAAACACTTGTTGTACTGTGTACGCTAGACACCACATTATCATGTGTAAACAGAATGATCTAATTATCCTTATATCCCATCTGTATCTGAATAAATATTAGGTGCCTCATATGCATGAGATTTAGCAAGACCAAATCTAAAAAACGTATTAGGTGTACCTAGAGGTAGCAAGCATAAATATAGATAAAATATTAGGTGCTCCCAGAGGTAACAAGCACAAATCTAAATAAAATATTAGATGCTCCCAGAGGTAACAAGCACATATCTAAATAAAATATTAGATGTTTCCAGAGGTAACAAGCACAAATCTAAATAAAATATTAGATGCTCTCAGAGGTAACAAGCACAATTCTAAATAAAATATTAGGTGCTCCCAGAGGTAACAAGCACAAATCTAAATAAAATATTAGATGCTCCCTGAGGTAACAAGCACAAATCTAAATAAAATATTAGATGCTCCCAGAGGTAACAAGCACAAATATAAATAAAATATTAGATGCTCCCAGAGGTAACAAGCACAATTCTAAATAAAATATTAGGTGCTCCCAGAGGTAACAAGCACAAATCTAAATAAAATATTAGGTGCTCCCAGAGGTAACAAGCACAAATCTAAATAAAATATTAGATGCTCCCAGAGGTAACAAGCACAAATCTAAATAAAATATTAGATGCTCCCAGAGGTAACAAGCATAAATCTAAATAAAATATTAGATGCTCCCAGAGGTAACATGCACAAATCTAAATGAAATATTAGATGTTTCCAGAGGTAACAAGCACAATTCTAAATAAAATATTAGATGCTCCCAGAGGTAACAAGCACAATTCTAAATAAAATAATAGATTTTCCCAGAGGTAACAAGCACAAATCTAAATGAAATATTAGATGCTCCCAGAGGTAACAAGCACAAATCTAAATGAAATATTAGATGCTCCCAGAGGTAACAAGCACAAATCTAAATGAAATATTAGATGCTCCCAGAGGTACCAAACACAAATCTAAATAAAATATTAGATGCTCCCGTAGGTAACAATGCCTTTGCAATCTAAGATGGCAGGAGTTGCTGTTGTCACTGATAAACAGAGATCCCATTTATCTGCACCAGGAACTTGCCACATGCTGTATATGTCAGTGAGGAATATGTTGTTATTGTTACTCGTACACTCACAGAGTCATTGATTGACTTGACTAAAGCAGCATACCTGATTGTAACACTGTCACTGCCTCATTGATTGACTTGACTAAAGCAGCATACTTGATTGTAACACTGTCACTACCTCATTGATTGACTTGACCAAAGCAGCATACTTGATTGTAACACTGTCACTATCTCATTGATTGACTTGACTAAAGCAGCATACTTGATTGTAACACTGTCACTACCTCATTGATTGACTTGACCAAAGCAGCATACTTGATTGTAACACTGTCACTATCTCATTGATTGACTTGACTAAAGCAGCAGACTTGATTGTAACACTGTCACTACCTCATTGATTGACTTGACTAAAGCAGCATACTTGATTGTAACACTGTCACTACCTCATTGATTGACTTGACTAAAGCAGCATACTTGATTGTAACACTGTCACTACCTCATTGATTGACTTGACTAAAGCAGCATACTTGATTGTAACACTGTCACTACCTCATTGATTGACTTGACTAAAGCAGCATACTTGATTGTAACACTGTCACTACCTCATTGATTGACTTGACTAAAGCAGCAGACTTGATTGTAACACGGTCACTGCCTCATTGATTGACTTGACTAAAGCAGCATACTTGATTGTAACACTGTTACTACCTCATTGATTGACTTGATTAAAGCAGCATACTTGATTGTAACACGGTCACTACCTCATTGATTGACTTGACCAAAGCAGCATACTTGATTGTAACACTGTCACTATCTCATTGATTGACTTGACTAAAGCAGCAGACTTGATTGTAACACTGTCACTACCTCATTGATTGACTTGACTAAAGCAGCATACTTGATTGTAACACTGTCACTACCTCATTGATTTACTTGACTAAAGCAGCATACTTGATTGTAACACTGTTACTACCTCATTGATTGACTTGATTAAAGCAGCATACTTGATTGTAACACGGTCACTACCTCATTGATTGACTTGACTAAAGCAGCATACTTGATTGTAACACGGTCACTACCTCATTGATTGACTTGACTAAAGCAGCATACTTGATTGTAACACGGTCACTACCTCATTGATTGACTTGACTAAAGCAGCATACTTGATTGTAACACTGTCACTACCTCATTGATTGACTTGACTAAAGCAGCATACTTGATTGTAACACTGTTACTACCTCATTGATTGACTTGATTAAAGCAGCATACTTGATTGTAACACTGTCACTACCTCATTGATTGACTTGACTAAAGCAGCAGACTTGATTGTAACACGGTCACTGCCTCATTGATTGACTTGACTAAAGCAGCATACTTGATTGTAACACTGTTACTACCTCATTGATTGACTTGACTAAAGCAGCATACTTGATTGTAACACTGTCACTACCTCATTGATTGACTTGATTAAAGCAGCATACTTGATTGTAACACTGTCACTACCTCATTGATTGACTTGACTAAAGCAGCATACTTGATTGTAACACTGTTACTACCTCATTGATTGACTTGACTAAAGCAGCATACTTGATTGTAACACTGTCACTACCTCATTGATTGACTTGACTAAAGCAGCATACTTGATTGTAACACTGTTACTACCTCATTGATTGACTTGACTAAAGCAGCATACTTGATTTGTAACACTGTTACTACCTCATTGATTGACTTGACTAAAGCAGCATACTTGATTGTAACACTGTCACTACCTCATTGATTGACTTGACTAAAGCAGCATACTTGATTGTAACACTGTTACTACCTCATTGATTGACTTGACTAAAGCAGCATACTTGATTGTAACACTGTTACTACCTCATTGATTGACTTGACTAAAGCAGCATACTTGATTGTAACACTGTTACTACCTCATTGATTGACTTGACTAAAGTAGCATACTTGATTGTAACACTGTCACTGCCTCATTGATTGACTTGATTAAAGCAGCATACTTGATTGTAACACTGTTACTACCTCATTGATTGACTTGACTAAAGCAGCATACTTGATTGTAACACTGTTACTACCTCATTGATTGACTTGACTAAAGCAGCATACTTGATTGTAACACTGTCACTATCTCATTGATTGACTTGACTAAAGCAGCAGACTTGATTGCAACACTGTTACTACCTCATTGATTGACTTGATTAAAGCAGCATACTTGATTGTAACACTGTCACTATCTCATTGATTGACTTGACTAAAGCAGCATACTTGATTGTAACACTGTTACTACCTCATTGATTGACTTGACTAAAGCAGCATACTTGATTGTAACACTGTTACTACCTCATTGATTGACTTGATTAAAGCAGCAGACTTGATTGTAACACGGTCACTGCCTCATTGATTGACTTGACTAAAGCAGCATACTTGATTGTAACACTGTTACTACCTCATTGATTGACTTGATTAAAGCAGCATACTTGATTGTAACACTGTTACTACCTCATTGATTGACTTGACTAAAGCAGCAGACTTGATTGTAACACGGTCACTGCCTCATTGATTGACTTGACTAAAGCAGCATACTTGATTGTAACACTGTTACTACCTCATTGATTGACTTGACTAAAGCAGCAGACTTGATTGTAACACTGTTACTACCTCATTGATTGACTTGACTAAAGCAGCAGACTTGATTGTAACACGGTCACTGCCTCATTGATTGACTTGACTAAAGCAGCATACTTGATTGTAACACTGTTACTACCTCATTGATTGACTTGACTAAAGCAGCATACTTGATTGTAACACTGTTACTACCTCATTGATTGACTTGATTAAAGCAGCATACTTGATTGTAACACTGTCACTACCTCATTGATTGACTTGACTAAAGCAGCAGACTTGATTATAACACGGTCACTGCCTCATTGATTGACTTGACTAAAGCAGCATACTTGATTGTAACACTGTTACTACCTCATTGATTGACTTGACTAAAGCAGCATACTTGATTGTAACACTGTTACTACCTCATTGATTGACTTGACTAAAGCAGCATACTTGATTGTAACACTGTCACTACCTCATTGATTGACTTGACTAAAGCAGCATACTTGATTGTAACACTGTTACTACCTCATTGATTGACTTGATTAAAGCAGCATACTTGATTGTAACACTGTTACTACCTCATTGATTGACTTGACTAAAGCAGCATACTTGATTGTAACACTGTTACTACCTCATTGATTGACTTGATTAAAGCAGCAGACTTGATTGTAACACGGTCACTGCCTCATTGATTGACTTGACTAAAGCAGCATACTTGATTGTAACACTGTTACTACCTCATTGATTGACTTGATTAAAGCAGCATACTTGATTGTAACACTGTCACTACCTCATTGATTGACTTGATTAAAGCAGCATACTTGATTGTAACACTGTTACTACCTCATTGATTGACTTGACTAAAGCAGCAGACTTGATTGTAACACGGTCACTGCCTCATTGATTGACTTGACTAAAGCAGCATACTTGATTGTAACACTGTCACTACCTCATTGATTGACTTGACTAAAGCAGCATACTTGATTGTAACACTGTCACTACCTCATTGATTGACTTGATTAAAGCAGCATACTTGATTGTAACACTGTTACTACCTCATTGATTGACTTGACTAAAGCAGCATACTTGATTGTAACACTGTCACTACCTCATTGATTGACTTGACTAAAGCAGCATACTTGATTGTAACACTGTCACTACCTCATTGATTGACTTGACTAAAGCAGCATACTTGATTGTAACACTGTTACTACCTCATTGATTGACTTGACTAAAGCAGCAGACTTGATTGTAACACTGTTACTACCTCATTGATTGACTTGACTAAAGCAGCATACTTGATTGTAACACTGTCACTACCTCATTGATTGACTTGACTAAAGCAGCATACTTGATTGTAACACGGTCACTGCCTCATTGATTGACTTGACTAAAGCAGCATACTTGATTGTAACACTGTTACTACCTCATTGATTGACTTGACTAAAGCAGCATACTTGATTGTAACACGGTCACTGCCTCATTGATTGACTTGATTAAAGCAGCATACTTGATTGTAACACTGTCACTACCTCATTGATTGACTTGATTAAAGCAGCATACTTGATTGTAACACTGTCACTACCTCATTGATTGACTTGACTAAAGCAGCAGACTTGATTGTAACACTGTTACTACCTCATTGATTGACTTGACTAAAGCAGCAGACTTGATTGTAACACTGTTACTACCTCATTGATTGACTTGACTAAAGCAGCATACTTGATTGTAACACTGTCACTACCTCATTGATTGACTTGACTAAAGCAGCATACTTGATTGTAACACGGTCACTGCCTCATTGATTGACTTGACTAAAGCAGCATACTTGATTGTAACACTGTTACTACCTCATTGATTGACTTGACTAAAGCAGCATACTTGATTGTAACACGGTCACTGCCTCATTGATTGACTTGACTAAAGCAGCATACTTGATTGTAACACTGTTACTACCTCATTGATTGACTTGACTAAAGCAGCATACTTGATTGTAACACGGTCACTGCCTCATTGATTGACTTGATTAAAGCAGCATACTTGATTGTAACACTGTCACTACCTCATTGATTGATTTGATTAAAGCAGCATACTTGATTGTAACACTGTCACTACCTCATTGATTGACTTGACTAAAGCAGCATACTTGATTGTAACACGGTCACTGCCTCATTGATTGACTTGATTAAAGCAGCATACTTGATTGTAACACTGTCACTACCTCATTGATTGACTTGATTAAAGCAGCATACTTGATTGTAACACTGTCACTACCTCATTGATTGACTTGACTAAAGCAGCATACTTGATTGTAACACTGTCACTACCTCATTGATTGACTTGATTAAAGCAGCATACTTGATTGTAACACTGTTACTACCTCATTGATTGACTTGACTAAAGCAGCATACTTGATTGTAACACGGTCACTGCCTCATTGATTGACTTGACTAAAGCAGCATACTTGATTGTAACACTGTTACTACCTCATTGATTGACTTGATTAAAGCAGCATACTTGATTGTAACACTGTCACTACCTGACATGGTCTAGGTCACATGTTGGACACCCTGGCTCGTCAGTATCTGTGGCAAGCTGGCCTGGACTACCGGCATGGCACCGGCCATGGTGTGGGTGCATTTCTCAATGTTCATGAAGGTCAGGTTTCAACTGTTCTGTATTCTACATATTCTGTGTATTCCATGTTTTTATGTCTGTCCCAAAATTCACAAAAACCCGGTGATTACAGTTGTGCAGGGTATCCCACACAGGCTACAGGGCATTGACCCTAAGATATCTGACCAGAGGTCAGTTGACCATTGAGTGTCCAGATGATCAGGACAGCTGAATGTTTGATCACTTGGGGCTTCTAGTGATGATTGGCTCACAAAGGGGGGGGGGGGGGCTTTGAGTGATGATCAGCTAACAAAGGAAGGGGATAGGGCGGGATCTTGAGTGGTGATTGGCTCACAAAAGATGGGTGTGTCTTGAGTGATGATTGGCTCACAAAGAGGGGGGAGGGTCTTGAGTGATGACTAGCTCACTGGAGTGTCTTTATTGATGACTAGCTCACTGGAGGAAAAGGGGGGCGGGGGTTTAGTGATCACTGTCTCACTGGGGGAGGAAAGGGGGTTCTTTAGTGATGACTGGCTCACTGGAGGGGGAGGGGGGGGGGGGGTGGTCTTTAGTGATGACTGTCATTAGGACACCATGTCAGATACTGTAGGAGACATCATGTCAGATATTGTAGGAGACATCATATTAGATACTGTCCACTCTGTATCCTCCCTCTAAGTCTGATAGTGTCCACTCTGTGTCCTCCCCATAAATCTGAAAGTGTCCACTCTGTGTCCTCCCTATAAATCTGACAGTGTCCACTCTGTATCCTCCCTATAAATCTGACAGTGTCCCCTCTGTATCCTCCCTATAAATCTGAAAGTGTCCACTTTGTGTCCTCCCCATAAATCTGACAGTGTCCACTCTGTGTCCTCCCTCTAAATCTGACAGTGTCCACTCTGTATCCTCCCTCTAAGTCTGACAGTGTCCACTCTGTGTCCTCCCTATAAATCTGACAGTGTCCACTCTGTGTCCTCCCTATAAATCTGACAGTGTCCACTCTGTGTCCTGCCTGTAAATCTGACAGTGTCCACTCTGTGTCCTCCCTGTAAATCTGACCATGTCCAATCTGTGTCCTCCCTGTAAATCTGACAGTGTCCACTCTGTGTCCTCCCCATAAATCTGACAGTGTCCACTCTGTGTCCTCCCTATAAATCTGACAGTGTCCACTCTGTGTCCTCCCTGTAAATCTGACAGTGTCCACTCAATGTCTCCCTGTAAATCTGACAGTATCTACTCCGTGTCCTCCCTGTAAATCTGACAGTGTCCACTCTGTGTCCTCCCTGTAAATCTGACAGTGTCCACTCTGTGTCCTCCCCATAAATCTGACAGTGTCCACTCTGTGTCCTCCCCATAAATCTGACAGTGTCCACTCTGTGTCCTCCCTGTAAATCTGACAGTGTCCAGTCTGTGTCCTCCCCATAAATCTGACAGTGTCCACTCTGTGTCCTCCCTGTAAATCTGACAGTGTCCACTCTGTGTCCTCCCCATAAATCTGACAGTGTCTACTCTGTGTCCTCCCCATAAATCTGACAGTGTCCACTCTTTGTCCTCCCTGTAAATCTGACAGTGTCCACTCTGTGTCCTCCCTGTAAATCTTACCATGTCCACTCTGTGTCTTCCCTGCTTCTCTGACATATTGACCACAGTTAATCTCATCTCCTTTGTATGTCAAATTGTTTGTCACATATCTGTCAGATCATAGAAACATTTGTTTATCTGTTGTATGTCTAATTGTTTGTCACATATCTGTCAGATCATAGAAACATTTGTTTATCTGTTGTATGTCTAATTGTTTGTCACATATCTGTCAGATCATAGAAACATTTGTTTATCTGTTGTATGTCTAATTGTTTGTCACATATCAGTAAGATCATAGAAACATTTGTTTATCTGTTGTATGTCTAATTGTTTGTCACGTATCTGTCAGATCATATAAACATTTTTTTATCTGTTGTATGTCTAATTGTTTGTCACATATCTGTCAGATCATAGAAACATTTGTTTATCTGTTGTATGTCTAATTGTTTGTCACATATCTGTCAGATCATAGAAACATTTGTTTATCTTTTGTATGTCTAATTGTTTGTCACATATCGACATACAACAGATAAACAAATGTTTCTATGATCTGATAGATACATGACAAACTATTATATCTGTCAGATCATAGAAACATTTGTTTATCTGTTGTATGTCTAATTGTTTGTCACATATCTGTCAGATCATAGAAACATTTGTTTATCTGTTGTATGTCTAATTGTTTGTCACATATCTATCAGATCATAGAAACATGTGTTTATCTGTTGTATGTCTTATTGTTTGTCACATATCTGTCAGATCATAGAAACATGTGTTTATCTGTTGTATGTCTAATTGTTTGTCACATATCTGTCAGATCATAGAAACATTTGTTTATCTGTTGTATGACTAATTGTTTGTCACATGTCTGCTGGATCATAGAAACATTTGTTTATCTTTTGTATGTCTAATTGTTTGTCACATATCTGTCAGATCATAGAAACATTTGTTTATCTTTTGTATGTCTAATTGTTTGTCACATATCTGTCAGATCATAGAAACATTTGTTCATCTGTTGTATGTCTAATTGTTTGTCACATATCTGTCAGATCATAGAAACATTTGTTTATCTTTTGTATGTCTAATTGTTTGTCACATATCTGTCAGATCATAGAAACATTTGTTTATCTTTTGTATGTCTAATTGTTTGTCACATATCTGTCAGATCATAGAAACATTTGTTTATCTGTTGTATGTCTTATTGTTTGTCACATATCTGTCAGATCATAGAAACATTTGTTTATCTGTTGTATGTCTAATTGTTTGTCATATATCTGTCAGATCATAGAAACATGTGTTTATTTGCTGTATGTCTAATTGTTTGTCATATATCTGTAGAAACATGTGTTTATTTGTTGTATGTCTAATTGTTTGTCATATATCTGTCAGATCATAGAAACATGTGTTTATCTGCTGTATGGTTTATTGTGTGTTGTCAAACTTGTGAAGTGTCATTGTCAACTCAACCCGTCATTTGACCATTGCAGGACCGTGTGGCATCTCCTTTAGGGTTTCACCAACTGAAATAGCACTGGAAGAAAACATGGTGGTCACTGACGGTGGGTACCACACACATATATCATTCTCACACATAAACATATGGCACTCTTGCACAGAAGTTTCACTCGGAGAGCCATTTGCCACTCTCACACAGAGATGTTTCACTGACACACAATCATGTCATTCTTACACAAAGATGTGTCACTCACACAGATATATGTCATTCTTACACAAATATGTGTCACTCACACCGACATATGTCATTCTTACACAAAGATGTGTCACTCACACAGACATATGTCATTCTTACACAAAGATGTGTCACTCACACAGACGTATGTCATTCTTACACAAAGATGTGTCACTCACACAGATGTATGTCATTCTTACACAAAGATGTGTCACTAACACAGATGTATGTCATTCTTACACAAAGATGTGTCAGTCACACAGATATATGTCATTCTTATACAAAGATGTGTCACTCACACAGATATATGTCATTCTTATACAAAGATGTGTCAATCACACAGATATATGTCATTCTTATACAAAGATGTGTCAATCACACATACATATGTCATTCTTATACAAAGATGTGTCACTCACACAGACATATGTCATTCTTATACAAAGATGTGTCACTCACACAGATGTATGTCATTCTTACACAAAGATGTGTCACTCACACAGATATATGTCATTCTTACAAAAATATGTGTCACTCACACAGATGTATGTCATTCTTACACAAAGATGTGTCACTCACACAGATGTATGTCATTCTTACACAAAGATGAGTCACTCACACAGATGTATGTCATTCTTATACAAAGATGTGTCACACAGATATATGTCATTCTTATACAAAGATGTGTCAATCACACAGATGTATGTCATTCTTATACAAAGATGTGTCACTCACACAGATATATGTCATTCTTACACAAAGATGAGTCACTCACACAGATGTATGTCATTCTTACACAAAGATGTGTCACTCACACAGATATATGTCATTCTTACATAAAGATGGGTCAATCACACAGATATATGTCATTCTTACACAAAGATGTGTCACTCACACAGATATATGTCATTCTTATACAAAGATGTGTCACTCACACAGATATATGTCATTCTTATACAAAGATGTGTCACTCACACAGATATATGTCATTCTTACACAAAGATGTGTCACTCACACAGATGTATGTCATTCTTACACAAAGATGTGTCACTCACACAGATGTATGTCATTCTTATACAAAGATGTGTCAATCACACAGACATATGTCATTCTTATACAAAGATGTGTCACTCACACAGACATATGTCATTCTTATGTCACTTATAAAGATGTGTCACTCACACAGACATATGTCATTCTTATACAAAGATGTGTCACTCACACAGATGTATGTCATTCTTACACAAAGATGTGTCACTCACAGACAGTCATTCTTACACATGTATGTCATTCTTACACAAAGATGTGTCAATCACACAGATATATGTCATTCTTATACAAAGATGTGTCAATCACACATTCATATGTCATTCTTATACAAAGATGTGTCACTCACACAGACATATGTCATTTTTATACAAAGATGTGTCACTCACACAGATATATGTCATTCTTTTACAAAGATGTGTCACTCACACAGATATATGTCATTCTTACACAAAGATGTGTCAATCAAGATGTCATTCTTATACAAAGATGTGTCATATGTCATTTTTATACAAAGATGTGTCCATTTACACATGTGCCCTAGATCAAAGACAGTCACCATTTTATAGCCCTAGAGATCATGTTATACAGATCACAGTCAGTCTGTCTTTGTAACATTCCTAGATCAGAGTCAGTCTGTTCATGTAACATTCCTAGATCAGAGTCAGTCTGTCCATGTTACATCCCTAAATCAGAGTCAGTCTGTCTATGTTACATCCCTAGATCACAGTCAGTCTGTCCATGTTACATTCCTAGATCAGAGTCAGTCTGTCCATGTTACATCCCTAGATCAGAGTCAATCTGTCCATGTAACATTCCTAGATCAGAGTCAGTCTGTCCATGTAACATTCCTAGATCAGAGTCATTCTGTCCATGTAACATTCCTAGATCAGAGTCAGTCTGTCTGTGTAACATTCCTAGATCAGAGTCAGTCTGTTCCTGTAACATTCCTAGATCAGAGTCATTCTGTCCATGTAAAATTCCTAGATCTGAGACAGTCTGTCCATGTTACATTTCTAGATCGAGACAGTCCATGTTGCAAACCTAGATCAGAGACAGTGCATCCATGCTATAACCTTAGATCAGAAACAGTTTGTCCATGTTACAACTCTAGATTGAGACAGTCTGTCCATGTTACAAGACTAGACATGAAGACAGTCTGTCCATGTTACAAGACTAGACATAAGGACTGTCATTGTTACATGACTAGACATAAGGACAGTCTGTGCTGTTACAAGACATGACATGAAGGCAGTCTGTCCGTGTTACAACTCTAGACTGAGACAGTCTGTCCATGTTACAAGACTAGACATCAAGATAGTCTGTCCATGTTACAAGACTAGACATTAAGAAGTCTGTCCATGTTACAAGACTAAACATAAAGACAGTCTGTCCATGTTACAAGACTAGACATGAAGACAGTCTGTTCATGTTACAAGACTAGACATTAAGAAGTCTGTCCGTGTTACAAGACTAAACATTAAGAAGTCTGTCCATGTTACAAGACTAGACATGAAGAAAGTCTGTCCATGTTACAAGACAAGACATGAAGACAGTCTGTCCATCTTACAAGACATGAAGACAGTCTGTCCATGTTACAACTCTAGATTGAGACAGTCTGTCCATGTACAAGACAAGACATGAAGACAGTCTTTCCATGTTATAAGACTAGACATAAAGACAGTCTGTCCATCTTACAAGACATGAAGACAGTCTGTCCATGTTACAACTCTAGATTGAGACAGTCTGTCCATGTTACCAGACTAGACATGAAGACAGTCTGTCCTTGTTACAAGACAAGACATGAAGACACTCTGCCCATGTTACAAGACTAGACATGAAGACAGTCTGTCCATGTTACAAGACCAGACATGAAGACAGTCAGTCCATGTTACAACTCTAGATTGAGACAGTCTGTCCATGTTACATGACTAGACATGAAGACACTCTGTCCATGTTACAAGACTAGACATGAAGACACTCTGTCCATGTTACAAGACTAGACGTGAAGACAGTCTGTCCATGTTACAAGACTAGTCATGAAGACAGTCTTTTCATGTTACAAGACTAGACATGAAGACACTCTGTCCATGTTACAAGACTAGACATGAAGACAGTCTGTCCATGCTACAAGACTAGTCATGAAGACAGTCTTTTCATGTTACAAGACTAGACGTGAAGACAGTCTGTCCATGTTACAAGACTAGTCATGAAGACAGTCTTTTCATGTTACAAGACTAGACATGAAGACACTCTGCCCATGTTACAAGACTAGACATGAAGACAGTCTGTCTATGTTACAAGACCAGACATGAAGACAGTCAGTCCATGTTACAACTCTAGATTGAGACAGTCTGTCCATGTTACATGACTAGACATGAAGACACTCTGTCCATGTTACAAGACTAGACATGAAGACACTCTGTCCATGTTACAAGACTAGACGTGAAGACAGTCTGTCCATGTTACAAGACTAGTCATGAAGACAGTCTTTTCATGTTACAAGACTAGACATGAAGACACTCTGTCCATGTTACAAGACTAGACATGAAGACAGTCTGTCCATGCTACAAGACTAGTCATGAAGACAGTCTTTTCATGTTACAAGACTAGACGTGAAGACAGTCTGTCCATGTTACAAGACTAGTCATGAAGACAGTCTTTTCATTTTACAAGACTAGACATGAAGACACTCTGTCCATGTTACAAGACTAGACATGAAGACAGTCTGTCCATGCTACAAGACTAGACATGAAGACAGTCTTTTCATGTTACAAGACTAGACATGAAGACACTCTGTCCATGTTACAAGACTAGACATGAAGACAGTCTGTCCATGCTACAAGACTAGTCATGAAGACAGTCTTTTCATGTTACAAGACTAGTCATGAAGACAGTCTTTTCATGTTACAAGACTAGACATGAAGACACTCTGTCCATGTTACAAGACTAGTCATGAAGACAGTCTGTCCATGCTACAAGACTAGACGTGAAGACAGTCTGTCCATGCTACAAGACTAGTCATGAAGACAGTCTTTTCATGTTACAAGACTAGACATGAAGACACTCTGTCCATGTTACAAGACTAGACATGAAGACAGTCTGTCCATGCTACAAGACTAGACATGAAGACAGTCTTTTCATGTTACAAGACTAGACATGAAGACACTCTGTCCATGTTACAAGACTAGACATGAAGACAGTCTGTCCATGTTACAAGACTAGACGTGAAGACAGTCTGTCCATGTTACAAGACTAGACGTGAAGACACTCTGTCCATGTTACAAGACTAGACATGAAGACACTCTGTCCATGTTACAAGACTAGACATGAAGACAGTCTGTCCATGTTACAAGACTAGACATGAAGACACTCTGTCCATGTTACAAGACTAGACATGAAGACACTCTGTCCATGTTACAAGACTAGACATGAAGACACTCTGTCCATGCTACAAGACTAGACATGAAGACAGTCATGTTACAACTCTAGTTTGAGACAGTCTGTCCATCTTACAAGACATAAGGACAGTCTGTAAAATATTATTGTTATTTCTATATGTTGCCCACACAGAGCCAGGCTATTATGAAGACGGCCATTTTGGTATCCGGATCGAGAACTGTGTGAAAGTTTGCAAGGCAACAACAAAAGTAAGTTGTGTATGTACTTGATACAGTGATAGCAGCTAGGCACCCAAACTGTGTGACACAGATGACTCAATGCTTAAGTCCTGCCTGTGTGACACAGATGACTCAATGCTTAAGTCCTGCCTGTGTGACACAGATGACTCAATGCTTAAGTCCTGCCTGTGTGACACAGATGACTCAATGCTTAAGTCCTGCCTGTGTGACACAGATGACTCAATGCTTAAGTCCTGCCTGTGTGACACAGATGACTCAATGCTTAAGTCCTGCCTGTGTGACACAGATGACTCAATGCTTAAGTCCTGCCTGTGTGACACAGATGACTCAATGCTTAAGTCCTGCCTGTGTGACACAGATGACTCAATGCTTAAGTCCTGCCTGTGTGACACAGATGACTCAATGCTTAAGTCCTGCCTGTGTGACACAGATGACTCAATGCTTAAGTCCTGCCTGTGTGACACAGATGACTCAATGCTTAAGTCCTGCCTCTGTGACACAGATGACTCAATGCTTAAGTCCTGCCTGTGTGACACAGATGACTCAATGCTTAAGTCCTGCCTGTGTGACACAGATGACTCAATGCTTAAGTCCTGCCTGTGTGACACAGATGACTCAATGCTTAAGTCCTGCCTGTGTGACACAGATGACTCAATGCTTAAGTCCTGCCTGTGTGACACAGATGACTCAATGCTTAAGTCCTGCCTGTGTGACACAGATGACTCAATGCTTAAGTCCTGCCTGTGTGACACAGATGACTCAATGCTTAAGTCCTGCCTGTGTGACACAGATGACTCAATGCTTAAGTCCTGCCTGTGTGACACAGATGACTCAATGCTTAAGTCCTGCCTGTGTGACACAGATGACTCAATGCTTAAGTCCTGCCTGTGTGACACAGATGACTCAATGCTTAAGTCCTGCCTGTGTGACACAGATGACTCAATGCTTAAGTCCTGCCTGTGTGACACAGATGACTCAATGCTTAAGTCCTGCCTGTGTGACACAGATGACTCAATGCTTAAGTCCTGCCTGTGTGACACAGATGACTCAATGCTTAAGTCCTGCCTGTGTGACACAGATGACTCAATGCTTAAGTCCTGCCTGTGTGACACAGATGACTCAATGCTTAAGTCCTGCCTGTGTGACACAGATGACTCAATGCTTAAGTCCTGCCTGTGTGACACAGATGACTCAATGCTTAAGTCCTGCCTGTGTGACACAGATGACTCAATGCTTAAGTCCTGCCTGTGTGACACAGATGACTCAATGCTTAAGTCCTGCCTGTGTGACACAGATGACTCAATGCTTAAGTCCTGCCTGTGTGACACAGATGACTCAATGCTTAAGTCCTGCCTGTGTGACACAGATGACTCAATGCTTAAGTCCTGCCTGTGTGACACAGATGACTCAATGCTTAAGTCCTGCCTGTGTGACACAGATGACTCAATGCTTAAGTCCTGCCTGTGTGACACAGATGACTCAATGCTTAAGTCCTGCCTGTGTGACACAGATGACTCAATGCTTAAGTCCTGCCTGTGTGACACAGATGACTCAATGCTTAAGTCCTGCCTGTGTGACACAGATGACTCAATGCTTAAGTCCTGCCTGTGTGACACAGATGACTCAATGCTTAAGTCCTGCCTGTGTGACACAGATGACTCAATGCTTAAGTCCTGCCTGTGTGACACAGATGACTCAATGCTTAAGTCCTGCCTGTGTGACACAGATGACTCAATGCTTAAGTCCTGCCTGTGTGACACAGATGACTCAATGCTTAAGTCCTGCCTGTGTGACACAGATGACTCAATGCTTAAGTCCTGCCTGTGTGACACAGATGACTCAATGCTTAAGTCCTGCCTGTGTGACACAGATGACTCAATGCTTAAGTCCTGCCTGTGTGACACAGATGACTCAATGCTTAAGTCCTGCCTGTGTGACACAGATGACTCAATGCTTAAGTCCTGCCTGTGTGACACAGATGACTCAATGCTTAAGTCCTGCCTGTGTGACACAGATGACTCAATGCTTAAGTCCTGCCTGTGTGACACAGATGACTCAATGCTTAAGTCCTGCCTGTGTGACACAGATGACTCAATGCTTAAGTCCTGCCTGTGTGACACAGATGACTCAATGCTTAAGTCCTGCCTGTGTGACACAGATGACTCAATGCTTAAGTCCTGCCTGTGTGACACAGATGACTCAATGCTTAAGTCCTGCCTGTGTGACACAGATGACTCAATGCTTAAGTCCTGCCTGTGTGACACAGATGACTCAATGCTTAAGTCCTGCCTGTGTGACACAGATGACTCAATGCTTAAGTCCTGCCTGTGTGACACAGATGACTCAATGCTTAAGTCCTGCCTGTGTGACACAGATGACTCAATGCTTAAGTCCTGCCTGTGTGACACAGATGACTCAATGCTTAAGTCCTGCCTGTGTGACACAGATGACTCAATGCTTAAGTCCTGCCTGTGTGACACAGATGACTCAATGCTTAAGTCCTGCCTGTGTGACACAGATGACTCAATGCTTAAGTCCTGCCTGTGTGACACAGATGACTCAATGCTTAAGTCCTGCCTGTGTGACACAGATGACTCAATGCTTAAGTCCTGCCTGTGTGACACAGATGACTCAATGCTTAAGTCCTGCCTGTGTGACACAGATGACTCAATGCTTAAGTCCTGCCTGTGTGACACAGTTGCATCTTCACATCCCCCAGAAATAGATGTGCCTAATTCGGACATAGTGTGTTATGGATACAGTTCGTAGCTCTCTTGATCGTACTCAACAACACGGTCAGTGATGAAACAAACTATTACAGATCTGGTTGTTTATTTCCACAATATTGTCAAGTCAAACAGTATGAATCATTTCATTAACCAATAGTATAGGAACACTTCATTATCTTATTACTGGCTATACATATATCTGGCGATAAGTTCTTTAATCACTCTCGCAAAGCAAAACCAAAGTTTTTCTATCTATTTCTTCTCACAAAGTTTTCTCAACCCTAGTTTTCTCTGTCTTCTCGCCAAGCTCTTGTCAGCAGCCCCCTCTAGCGTCTAGGCACTGACTTGTCTCTCTCCCCCTCCTCTGCTCTTCACCCCCGCTTTCTCTCTCTTCTCGGTGTGGGTTCTCAATCACTCCCTATGGCACTTATCTGGGTTGTCTGTGGCAGTCTGAGTTGTCTGGGATACTTGCCTGGGTTGTCAGTGACACTTCTGAGCTGTCAGTGAAATTCATCTGGGTGGTATGTGACTCTTATCTGGGTTGTCTGTGACACTTGCCTGGGTTGTCTGTGGCACTTGTTTTGGCTGTCGGTGACACTAGCCTGGGTTGTCTGTGACACTTGTTTAGGTTGTCTGTGACACTTGTTTGGGTTGGCTGTGACACTTATCTGGGTTGTCTGTGGCAGTCTGAGTTGTCTGGGATACTTGCCTGGGTTGTCTGTGGCACTTCTGAGTTGTCTGTGTTGTGAGTCCTAACTGACTATAGCATCTGTTTGAGTTGACTGAAGCAACTGAGTTGACTAAAGCTTAGTCAGAGTTGACTGAAGCAACTGTCTGGGTTGACTGAAGCAACTGTCTGGGTTGACTGAAGCAACTGTTTCAGATGTCTGTAGTTGCTGATAATGTCAGCGGGTGGTATGTGATGTTTGAAAGTCTGGCTGTTTTTCCTGATTGTTTGTCTAGAAAAATTGTAGTCTCTGAAAACCACATATAATGTTTATTAATGTGTTGTGTGTGGTTTTTTTATGGATAGCACAATTTTGGAGGGAAGGGCTTCCTAACTTTTGAGCCGATAACCGTTGTCCCAATACAGACAAAGATGATTGATGCCTCGCTGCTGACTGAGAAAGAGGTACTGTTTCATGTTTTCTTCAGGTTTTAGTGTATAGATCAGCATATGCTCACTGTTTGTGTTTGTTGCATCTTTCTGACAGTTTCATTTATTTAAAACATAGCTGTTTTGTTGACTGAGTTTACTACATTGCTGCTTCTGTTGACTGTGTTTGCTATATTGCTATTTATGTTGACTGTATTTGCTACATTGCTATTTATGTTGACTGTGTTTACTACATTGCTATTTTTGTTGACTGAGTTTACTACATTACTATTTCTGTTGACTGTGTTTGCTACATTGCTGCTTCTGTTAACTGTGTTTACTACATTGCTATTTCTGTTGACTGTGTTTACTACATTGCTATTTCTGTTGACTGTGTTTGCTACATTGCTGCTTCTGTTGACTGTGTTTACTACATTGCTATTTCTGTTGACTGTGTTTACTACATTGCTATTTCTGTTGACTGAGTTTACTACATTGCTATTTATGTTGACTGTGTTTTTGATTGCTATTTATGTTGACTGTGTTTACTGAGTTTACATTGCTATTTCTGTTGACTACGTTTACTACATTGCTGACTGTGTTTTACATTGCTATTTCATTGACATTGAGTTTACTGTGTTACTATTGCTATTTCTGATGACTGAGTTTACTACACTACATTGCTATTTCTGTTGACTACGTTTACTACATTGCTATTTCTGATGACTACGTTTACTACATTGCTATTTCTGATGACTACGTTTACTACATTGCTATTTCTGTTGACTGTGTTTACTACATTGCTATTTCTGTTGACTGTGTTAGCTACATTGCTATTTATGTTGACTGTGTTTACCACATTGCTATTTCTGATGACGGTGTTTGCTACATTGCTATTTCTGTTGACTGAGTTTACTACATTGCTATTTCTGATGACTACGTTTACTACATTGCTATTTATGTTGACTACGTTTACTACATTGCTATTTCTGATGACTACGTTTACTACATTGCTATTTCTGTTGACTGTATTTACTACATTGCTATTTCTGTTGACTGTGTTTGCTACATTGCTTTCTTTGACTGTTGACTGTCTGTTGACTGTGACTTGCTTCTGTTGTGCATTGCTACATTGCTATTTCTGTTGACTGTGTTTACTACATTGCTATTTCTGTTGACTGTGTGTTTACTACATTGCTATTTCTGTTGACTGTGTTTACTACATTGCTATTTCTGTTGACTGTGTTTACTATTGCTATTTCTGTTGACTGTGTTTACTACTACATTGTTGACTTCTGTTTTGCTGTGACTGTGTTTACTACATTGCTATTTCTGTTGACTGTGTTTACTACATTGCTATTTCTGTTGACTGTGTTTACTACATTGCTATTTCTGTTGACTGTATTTCTGTTTACTACATTGCTATTTCTGTTGACTGTGTTTTACTACATTGCTATTTCTTTCTGTGTTGACTACATTGCTATTTTGTTGACTGTGTTTTACATTGCTATTTCTGTTGACTGTGTTGACTGCTATTGTGTTGATTGTTTTACTACATTGCTATTTCTGTTGACTGTGTTGACTACATTGCTATTTCTGTTGACTGTGTTTACTACATTGCTATTTCTGTTGACTGTGTGACTGTTTACTACATTGCTATTTCTGTTGACTGTGTTTACTACATTGCTATTTCTGTTGACTGTGTTTACTACATTGCTATTTCTGTTGACTGTGTTTACTACATTGCTATTTCTGTTGACTGTGTTTACTACATTGACTGTGACTGTGTGTTTACTACTACATTGCTATTTCTGTTGACTGTGTTTACTACATTGCTATTTCTGTTGACTGTGTTTACTACATTGCTATTTCTGTTGACTGTGTTTACTACATTGCTATTTCTGTTGACTGTGTTTACTACACATTGCTATGACTTCTGTTGACTGTGTGTGTTTACTACATTGCTATTTCTGTTGACTGTGTTTACTACATTGCTATTTCTGTTGACTGTGTTTATTTCTGTTGACTGTGTTTACTACATTGCTATTTCTGTTGACTGTGTTTGCTATTTCTGTTGACATTGCTATTTCTGTTGACTGTGTTGACTACATTGCTATTTCTGTTGACTGTGTTTGCTACTACATTGCTACATTATTTCTGTTGACTGTGTTTTACTACATTGCTATTTCTGTTGACTGTGTTTACTACATTGCTATTTCTGTTGACTGTGTTTACTACATTGCTATTTCTGTTGACTGTGTTTGCTACATTGCTATTTCTGTTGACTGTGTTTACTACATTGCTATTTCTGTTGACTGTGTTTGCTACATTGCTATTTCTGTTGACTGTGTTTACTACATTGCTATTTCTGTTGACTGTGTTTACTACATTGCTATTTCTGTTGACTGTATTTACTACATTGCTATTTCTGTTGACTGTGTTTACTACATTGCTATTTCTGTTGACTGTGTTTACTACATTGCTATTTCTGTTGACTGTGTTTACTACATTGCTATTTCTGTTGACTGTGTTTACTACATTGCTATTTCTGTTGACTGTGTTTACTACATTGCTATTTCTGTTGACTGTGTTTACTACATTGCTATTTCTGTTGACTGTGTTTACTACATTGCTATTTCTGTTGACTGTGTTTACTACATTGCTATTTCTGTTGTGTGACATTGTGTTGACTTACATTGCTATTGCTGTATTATACATTGCTGTTGACTGTGTTTGCTACATTGCTATTTCTGTTGACTGTGTTTACTACATTGCTATTTCTGTTGACTGTGTTAGCTACATTGCTAATTTATGTTGACTGTATTTACTACATTGCTATTTCTGTTGACTGTGTTTGCTACATTGCTATTTCTGTTGACTGTGTTTACTACATTGCTATTTCTGTTGACTGTGTTTACTACATTGCTATTTATGTTGACTGTGTTTACTACATTGCTATTTCCGTTGTCTGTGCTGCTGTAAGGACTCTTAACTCGTTTACTGTTTAATAGATTGTTCTGTTGACTATATGACAGTTGTGACTTGTTTACTACATTGCTGTTTCTGTTTACTATACAACTGTTGTGACTTGTTTACTACATTGCTGTTTCTGTTGACTGTATAACTTTTGTGACTTGTTTACTTCATTGCTGTTTCTGTTGACTATACAACTGTTGAGACTTGTTTACTACATTGCTGTTTCTGTTGACTGTATAACTTCTGTGACTTGTTTACTACATTGCTGTTTCTGTTGACTATACAACTGTTGTGACTTGTTGACTACATTGTTGTTTCTGTTGACTATACAACTTTTGTGACTTGTTTACTGCATAGCTGTTATTGTTGACTCTACAACTGTTGGGACTTGTTTACTACATTGCTGTTTCTGTTGACTATACATTTGTTTACTACATTGCTGTTCCTGTTGATTATACAACTGTTGTGAATTGTTTACTACATTGCTGTTTCTCTTGACTATACAATTGTTTACTACATTGCTGTTTCTGTTGACTATACAATTGTTAACTACATTGCTGTTTCTGTTGACTATACATTTGGTTACTGCATTGCTGTTTCTGTTGACTATACAATTGTTTACTACATTGTTGTTTCTCTTGACTATACAATTGTTAACTACATTGCTGTTTCTGTTGACTATACATTTGGTTACTACATTGCTGTTTCTGTTGACTATACAATTGTTTTCTACATTGCTGTTTCTGTTGACTGTACAACTTCTGTGACTTGTTTACTGCATTGCTGTTTCTGTTGACTCTACAACTGTTGTGATTTGTTTACTACATTGTTGTTTCTAATTAGTATACAGTTGTTTGCTACATTGCTGTTTCTGTTGACTATACAACTTTTGTGACTTGTTTACTACATTGCTGTTTCTGTTGACTGTTCAACTGTTGTGACTTGTTTACTACATTGCTGTTTCTGTTGACTGTACAACTGTTTTGGCTGTTTCTGTTGACTATACAGTTGTTTACTACATTGCTGTTTCTTTTGACTATACAGTTGTTTACTACATTGCTATTTCTGTTGACTATACAATTGGTTACTACATTGCTGTTCCTGTTGACTATACAACTGGTGTGACTTGTTTACTATATTGCTGTTGTTGTTTTTTTTTACTGTACAACTGTTGTGACTTGTTTACTGCATTGCTGTTTCTGCTGACTGTACAACTGTTGTGACTTGTTTACTATATTGCTGTTTCTTTTGACTATACAACTGTTGTGACATGTTTACTATATTGCTGTTTCTGTTGACTATACAACTTTTGTGACTTGTTTACTATATTGCTGTTTCTATTGACTATACAACTGTTGTGACTTGTTTATACTACAACTTTTGTCACTTGTTTACTATATTGCTGTTTCTATTGACTATAAAACTGTTGTGACTTGTTTATACTACATTACTGTTTCTGTTGACTATACAATTGTTTGCTGTATCGCTGTTTCTGTTGATTATACACCTGTTGTGACTTGTTTACTACATTGCTATTTCTGTTGACTATACAATTGTTTACTATATTGCTGTTTCTGTTGACTAGAGAGTTGTTTACTACATTGCTGTTTCTGTTTACTGTGCTGTTTTATTGACTGTTTACTGTTGACTTTGTTTATGAGACTGTTGTGTTGACCATACAACTGGTGAGACTCTATTTACTATATTGTTGTGCTACTTGACTTGTGTGCTACTGGACTGTTGTGCTTCTTGGCTGTTGTGCTACTTGACTGTTGTGCTACTTGACTGTTGTGCTACTTGACTGTTGTGCTACTTGACTGTTGTGCTACTTGACTGCTGTGCTACTTGACTTTTGTGCTACTTGACTGTTGTGCTACTTAACTGTTGTGCTACTTGACTGTTGTGTTGCTGTGTAAAGATAACAAGCCATGACTGAATCAATGTACATGACAAACTGGTGTGCTCCACAGATCCAGTGGTTGAACAGTTATCATGCCAAAGTGCGCAACCTTGTGGGTGAGGAGCTGAAAAAACAGGGCAAGAAGGAGGTTTATCACTGGCTTCTCCAAGCAACTGAACCACTGGGTTAACTATAACACATGCATGGTTGACCATCTGTATAACAACAAACATGCCGGCTGAAGACACCTCTAGTGCCTCTGCGGTGGTTTATCCCAGTTGTGTAGTTTACATTGTTACAAACACAGAACAATAGATTTGTCTTCATGTTTACATTGTTACATACACAGAACAATAGATTTGTCTTCATGTTTACATTGTTACATACACAGAACAATAGATTTGTCTTCATGTTTACATTGTTACATACACAGAACAATAGATTTGTCTTCATGTTTACATTGTTACATACACAGAACAATAGATTTGTCTTCATGTTTACATTGTTACATACACAGAACAATAGATTTGTCTTCATGTTTACATTGTTACATACACAGAACAATAGATTTGTCTTCATGTTTACATTGTTACATACACAGAACAATAGATTTGTCTTCATGTTTACATTGTTACATACACAGAACAATAGATTTGTCTTCATGTTTACATTGTTACATACACAGAACAATAGATTTGTCTTCATGTTTACATTGTTACATACACAGAACAATAGGTTTGTCTTCATGTTTACATTGTTACATACACAGAACAATAGGTTTGTCTTCATGTTTACATTGTTACATACACAGAACAATAGATTTATCTTCATGTTTACATTGTTACATACACAGAACAATAGGTTTGTCTTCATGTTTACATTGTTACATACACAGAACAATAGATTTGTCTTCATGTTTACATTGTTACATACACAGAACAATAGATTTGTCTTCATGTTTACATTGTTACATACACAGAACAATAGATTTGTCTTCATGTTTACATTGTTACATACACAGAACAATAGGTTTGTCTTCATGTTTACATTGTTACATACACAGAACAATAAATTTGTCTTCATGTTTACATTGTTACATACACAGAACAATAGATTTGTCTTCATGTTTACATTGTTACATACACAGAACAATAGATTTGTCTTCATGTTTACATTGTTACATACACAGAACAATAAATTTGTCTTCATGTTTACATTGTTACATACACAGAACAATAGATTTGTCTTCATGTTTACATTGTTACATACACAGAACAATAGATTTGTCTTCATGTTTACATTGTTACATACACAGAACAATAGATTTATCTTCATGTTTACATGATAAGGATGCATGTGAATGACAGAATAGATTTTGTTATTAGACTTAATTTGTAAGATTAGGATGTGTGTCTGTATGACAGAATAGATTTTGTTATTAGACTTCATTTGGTAAATTAAGATGTGTGTGTATGACAGAATAGATTTTGTTATTCGACTTCATTTGTTAGATAAGGATGTGTTCGTATAACAGAATAGATTTTGTTATTAGACTTCATTTGTTAGATTAGGATGTGTGTCTGTATGACAGAATAGATTTTGTTATTAGACTTCATTTGTTAGATTAGAATGTGTGTCTGTATGACAGAATAAATTTTGTAATTAGACTTCATTTGTTTGATTAGGATGTGTGTCTGTATGACAGAATAGATGTTGTTATTAGACTTCATTTGTTAGATTAGGATGTGTGTCTGTATGACAGAATAATTTTGTTATTAGACTTCATTTGTTTGATTAGGATGTGTGTCTGTTTGACAGAATAGATTTTGTTATTAGACTTTATTTGTTTGATTAGGATGTGTGTCTGTATGACAGAATAGATTTTGTTTAGACTTCATGTGTTAGATTAGGATGTGTGTTTTTATGACAGAACAGATTTTGTAATAAGACTTCATGTGTTAGATTAGGATGTGTGTCTGTATGACAGAACAGATTTTGTAATAAGACTTTATGTGTTAGATTAGGATGTGTATCTGTATGACAGAATAGATTTTGTTATTAGACTTCATGTATGTAGATGGGACCTGGTGTCTTCAACATAGTTCCCAAATTTTTCTTGGATGTACGCGTGAATGTGAGAACAAATTTTTATTACTGAAAATAAAATATAGCTTCAAGAAATAATGGATGTTATTAAAATGGATCCGTATGAGAGTTCCGAGGTCACATTTTGGAGATGAAAAAAAAAGAAAATATATTCACGCTTCGCCCCAGCAAGCATGTTGTATTACACAACTATTTTCCTTCAAAATCAAAGGGCATCTATGTGAGCGGTGAGAAACCAACAGTATGTTTACAAATAGACCACATCTGTCATACAACACGTTCAAAACCAGACCTTTCCGGCAGAGTTTGCAGCGTGTAAACTCTCAAATAGAGATTAGAACCACAAGTCCAAATAAAGGACTTAGTCTGTGCCGCCGCAGAGAAACAGAAGTAATGACATTTAAATCTCATATCTTTGGGAATGCAACATCAAGTGTCAGTGATTCTTAGCACGCTGATGGGTTCAAGTGTCAGTGATTCTTAGCAGGCTGATGGGTTCAAGTGTCAGTGATTCTTAGCAGGCTGATGGGTTCAAGTGTCAGTGATTCTTAGCAGGCTGATGGGTTCAAGTGTCAGTGATTCTTAGCAGGCTGATGGGTTCAAGTGTCAGTGATTCTTAGCAGGCTGATGGGTTCAAGTGTCAGTGATTCTTAGCAGGCTGATGGGTTCAAGTGTCAGTGATTCTTAGCAGGCTGATGGGTTCAAGTGTCAGTGATTCTTAGCAGGCTGATGGGTTCAAGTGTCAGGGATTCTTAGCAAGCTGATGGGTTCAAGTGTCAGGGATTCTTAGCAAGCTGATGGGTTCAAGTGTCAGTGTTGGGTACCTAGATAACAGTAGATGGAAGATGGGTTCAAGTGTTGGGTACCTAGATAACAGTAGATGGAAGATGTACTGAAGAAGTTAAGTGTAAAATAGTCCACAATAAAAGCAGCTTTCAAAAGATATTGCATATTCTTTGCAATATATCTTTCTCGTTTGTGGTTTTACACACACACACACACACACACACACACACATACAAAATATGATATTCAGAGGTACTGAGCTAGTAAATCGTGTCACTCACACACATGAAGTATGATATTCAGAGGTACTGAGCTGGTAAATCATGTCACACACACACACACACACACACACACACACACACACAAAGTATGATATGTCGAGGTACTGAGCTGGTAAATCATGTCACACACAAACACACACACACACACACAAAGTATGATATTCGGAAGTACTGAGCTGGTAATCATGTCACACACAAACACACACACACACAAAGCATGATATTCGGAGGTACTGAGCTGGTAAATCATGTCACACACACACACACAAAGCATGATATTCGGAGGTACTGAGCTGGTAAATCATGTCACACACAAACACACACACACACACAAAGCATGATATTCGGAGGTACTGAGCTGGTAAATCATGTCACACACACACACACAAAGCATGATATTCGGAGGTACTGAGCTGGTAAATCATGTCACACACACACACAAACACACACACACACACAAAGCATGATATTCGGAGGTACTGAGCTGGTAAATCATGTCACACACACACAAACACACACACACACAAAGCATGATATTCGGAGGTACTGAGCTAGTAAATCATGTCACACACAAACATACACACACACACACACACACAAATCGTGTGTAGTCAGCAGATTAGTGAGAACATATGTGGAAGTTGCAGAGCTATGATTGTATAGAATGTCAGAGAAAGCATGTAGGGGAGATGAACAGTGTCACATACCGCTCGTGTCACGTGCCTGTTTTAAGGATTTATCCTTAAGAACCAACAGCACTCTGAAATAGAATAATGTTGAAATTGTCGGCTCGTATTGGTCTAAAGGGTATCACGTGGCCAAAATACACCCAACCTATTTCAGGAGTAGGGCAACTCAAGCTATGGCACTACAGAATATATAATATTCCTAGGCGCAGCTTGGCTGGACGTCTCCGCTATTATAAGAAGATAGCCCCCAGGCTTTAATATTGTAATATCACAGCCATGTTAACACAGGTTAAGATTAATGGTTAAACATAACATGAACTCTACAGTTTGAACAGTGAATGATGGACACTCAAGTCAAGAATGAAAACTTCCAAAGACATATAATAAATGCAACACATACTTCATAAGAATCAAGCAAAGAATTTTCAGGAACCCAGAATGATATGAGGGACAAAAACTTCAAAACAGATCTGACTGATTGTCTTAGTTTCCCAGAGTCAGCCTAGATCATCATCATCATCGTGTGGACGATTAACAGTGGAGCCTGGCAATAAACCAATGATTGACTACACTTATCTGAATCCATGGTTACCTGGACTGGCTGAATGTTCAGTCACTCTGTTGTTATGTTGAAGACTGTCCCACACTAGGCACTCGAACACTGGAGCTACAAACAAAATCCTGGAGAGGATACTCTGAGCCAAAGTCACTCACTAGAGCCCAACAAGCTCCTGGAGAGGATACTCTGAGCCAAAGTCAATCACTAGAGCCCAGCAAGCTCCTGGAGAGGATACTCTGAGCCAAAGTCAATCACTAGAGCCCAGCAAGCTCCTGGAGAGGATACTCTGAGCCAAAGTCAATCACTAGAGCCCAACAAGCTCCTGGAGAGGATACTCTGAGCCAAAGTCAATCACTAGAGCCCAGCAAGCTCCTGGAGAGGATACTCTGAGCCAAAGTCAATCACTAGAGCCCAGCAAGCTCCTAGAGAGGATACTCTGAGCCAAAGTCACTCACTAGAGCCCAACAAGCTCCTGAAGAGGATACTCTGAGCCAAAGTCAATCACTAGAGCCCAGCAAGCTCCTGGAGAGGATACTCTGAGCCAAAGTCAATCACTAGAGCCCAGCAAGCTCCTGGAGAGGATACTCTGAGCCAAAGTCAATCACTAGAGCCCAACAAGCTCCTGGAGAGGATACTCTGAGCCAAAGTCAATCACTAGAGCCCAGCAAGCTCCTAGAGAGGATACTCTGAGCCAAAGTCAATCACTAGAGCCCAACAAGCTCCTGGAGAGGATACTCTGAGCCAAAGTCAATCACTAGAGCCCAGCAAG